GAGGGGGCATGTATTGAACAAGTATGCGACTGTTCGCCCGGAGCCAGGAGGATTCGAGAATGAGCAAGAAGTAGGATGGAGAAAGACAAGCAAGAAGAGAAGCTTGGAAGATTAAGGCGAGATAGGTAAGGTGAAGCAAGCCAGGTGAAGGTGAGGGAGGGAAGAGAGGAAAGAAAAGAAGAACCGGGTAAGGTAGAGCAAGGCACAGGCTATTGCGTAGGGTGATGGTCAGGATATTTTGGAGCAGCTCTCAGTCGCAGCTGCACGGAGGGCCCTCCTTAGGCGCTCCTTGGGTGCGGTGCGAATAGGTGGTGGGTGGATGCTAAGGGCAAGGTTCGGACGGGACGGGATGACTGATAGGTGGCCCACGCCGGGATGGTGATTTTGTTCTATTGCAAGGGATCCGCAATCTCTGATTAAGGTGGGAGGCACATGGCCCTGGCTCCTGCTGTTTGATGATGCTTCTCGAATCACCAGAGCTAGTGACGGACCACCTGGCAGTCGACAGGTCGGGTGAGGTTGACTTAGGTAGAGAAAGTGGGTGTCGAGGTCGCGGATTGTCATTTTAGCAAGGACGGCTTCGCTGCGTGTCCTGTATCCAAGCTGGCAGTTGGCTGCTCAAGGAAATGCTTATTCGACGGCTCACAGGGGTCGCCAGCCCAGCGAACCCAGCGAACCCAGCAGTGCCGTCCCACGGTGCAGCGTGACGCGACGTGGTTGCTGCCAAAGAGTGAGACTTTGGGAAGTGTGCCCTCCGATGGCCCCTGTTGCAATGCAGAACCCTGCCAATGTTGCCTCGCCGGGGCCTCCTTCTGGAAGCACTAATCCCCGAACGGGTAAGGCGGAGCCTGGAATGCCACCAGCGAGCAACTGCAGCTGGGAGTCTGGGACGTGGACTCACTGCTGGCTGTGGATGCCGGTGGCTCCTTCTTCTTCTTCCCGGTCTTCCAGTCCAGTCGTTGTTGATGCTCTCCCTCCTCTCCCAACGTCAAGGAACCCCCTTTCCCTTGCGAGGCCAACCAAATACTTTCGATCCAGTCAGCAGCTTTTTCGAACCATTGCCATCTCATTGTCTTGCTGTCATTATGCATTGCGCATCATGGTTGCTCCCCATCAGCCAGGGACTCGCTTTGTTTCTTGGGGTCGCTTGTCTCTCGAGCAACACGCGCACCAGACCAAGACCAGCCTTGTCCGATTGTCCCAGAGAGTCTGATATCAGACGAACAGACATAATAACATCCTTTAGCCTCTGCGGGTATCAATTCCGGCTCCTCGGGCCTTGTCATAGTCCGAAGCGCCATGTGTTATCACCTCGGTGCCACGGACAGAGGCGCGCCGCCTACGTCTATTTGCGCGACTCTCGAAATGGGCCTCCTATCGGGACACTATTGGACAGGATTTGAGGATCGGTAATGATGCAACAAGCAGCACACAATGTCTCGCCGTCGGAATGTGGTTTGCAGGGCCAGCGCCTCCCTGCCCACGCTGTGGCGTCGTGGAGTTGACAGGCTTCTTAAGTGCCTGCAGCTCGCTTTCGCCTTCAAACCCCGCCAGCCTGGAATTATCGTTCTTGTATAGATCTCCGTCTGATTCTTGCATCAGCACCGAATCATGTATGTTCAACCTGCAGGTGATGATCTGCCTTTACACAGACTCTGCGCTTATTCGGGCGGTGAGTTTGACGCGGGCCTGGCGGTGAGGCTTGCATTCACCGCTCAGGGTTAAGTATTGAATAATTCATGATCAACTCGGGCGCAAGAAAGACCTCTGCTGATACTCTGTTGGGGCGGAGCTTTACTACTACGGCCCGAACGCAGCTCCGGACCCGCCGTCCCGATCCCGTCTCTCCGTCCGAGAGTGCAACGCTGTTTGACCACATTTCCTATTTCCAGAACTCGGAAATGGGGGGCACGCAGGTTTACAGCAAGGTATGGAGGTTTGTTCTTACGTCAAGCCAACATCTTTACACTTTCTGAGTCACACTTGGCTGAAGGCGTCCAGGTCCCCCCATCAACCACAAACCTAACGGAACATTCGTAGACTGGAGATGGCACCGAGTTCAAGCCCCACGACTAGAAGAAATTATTGAACGCTGAGAAATGTAGCACCATCTCCAATCTGCAGAATCAGCACCATGGGTGGTCCAGATGCATTTTCTCCGAGCCCTCTCTCAATGCAAGTCTTCAGTGGAGATCGTGGCTGGTGGTAACATCAGATGTGGCTGACATTTGATGTGGCTTAACCTTTGGAGCATTTGCACCTGGGAGACTCAGGTGAGATGCATGACATAGTGTAGCCATACCGCTTCCACGCCGGTATATTGAACCCCATTTCCCAAGAAGACCCAAGCAGAACTTAAACAGGAAAGGCCTGCTACAGTGTACCCTTCGAACCTGATGATGATAGAGACCAGGAAAGATACCCATGACAACCCCGCCGTTCTGTGGCCGCCAGGCTGCCATGGCTGGACAATGCAGTGTGTGTAGAGGCATCTGCGATCGGGGAGGACTCACAAAAACTGCCAGCAATACTTCTGCCTGAAAACCCTTGCTTGAGGTGAAGTCAAAGACACAGCGACCGTCTCCCCTCAGGGATTCCTGCTTCCAGATGCTGCGGCGTAGCGGGCTCCTTTGAGGCCTCAGTGCTGAGCCGAATAAAGGTTCGTCGTGGACAAGGCGCCATTCACCTTGCTGCTCCAGGCATCAGAGCGGTTCCGGCCCGCAAATATGTTACCCCAGCCAATGGAAAGCCGAGCAGCCTCCTTTCTTGCTCGGGTACCCTACGATTCTGAAGGCAACCACGCGCCCCTCCGACCCTTCCTGTGTGCTGTCCCCACAAAGAGAAGGTACCTACCTACCGTACCAACCGCTTTGCCCCCCAATACCTTGCCGACCAACGTCAGACTGTGAATCAGCACAAAAGCATCTCCATCCGCAACCCGTAGCCGCCATTGTTTGCTACCAACACCACTTCGTCCAAACCACCTCTCTGTCGCGCCCACTCCAGTTTCCGTTTCCATTCTCCGATTAGCTTTCTGTAGGTATATCTACTGCGCTGATTTCCCTCTTCGTCGATCAATCCAAATCCTCACACTTCCCTCATCAACCCCACCTCGCTACAATACAGCTGCACGCATTCCGCTGCTTCAACCAACTAACATCGTCGAGATTACTCGCAGACACACATACATCAATCAAGATGGCCACCGAAAAGAAGGAGCAGAAGATCTGGGTGCAGTCCAACGACAGCATCACCCTCCCAGTCGGTACGTCACATCTTTTCCTCTCCAAGGCCTGCTCCTTCCTCCGTTGTCGCATCCTGCTAACCGTTGGGTTCTAGACCGCGTTGTTGCTGAGCGCTCCATGCTCATCAAGAACATGCTTGAGGACGTCGGTGATGATGCCATCAGCCAGGAGAACCCCATTCCCATTCCCAACGTCAACGAGGCCGTCCTCAGAAAGGTCATCGAGTGGTGTGAGCACCACCGCAACGACCCCCCCGTTAACGCCGACGAGGAGAACGACGCTCGCAAGAAGACTACCGAGATCGAGGAGTGGGACCAAAAGTTCATGCAGGTTGACCAGGAGATGCTCTTTGAGATCATCCTCGTATGTGACACCCTTTTCTTGTTTCTTCTTCCAGCTCATGCTAACCTTTTCCCAGGCCTCCAACTACCTCGACATCAAGCCCCTCCTTGACGTTGGCTGCAAGACCGTCGCCAACATGATCAAGGGCAAGTCCCCCGAGGAGATCCGCAAGACCTTCAACATCACCAACGACTTCACCCCCGAGGAGGAGGAGCAGATCCGTCGCGAGAACGAGTGGGCCGAGGACCGTTAAGCAAATCCTGGGAGCGGTGGGATCATCTAGATAGGATATCCCGTGCCCGCCATTTATGTGTTATGCATCGTTTTCTGGCGTTTTCGACGATTCCATGGGCACCCAAGGGTCACGGTTTGCTTAGGGCGGGAATTGGTGAAGGAAGGGCTCACCGCAGTGCGCATTCGAAGACCGCAAGGTAGTGTGGGTTGTCTTTTTAGTTTGCTTCACCGGTAGCATTTCAAGGCAGACCGTCTCTTCACCATTGCTATTGACTCATCTCGTGCAGTGATGTATGTACCCTTGTGGGAAAGTGTGGCTTTTCCATGGACCACTATGTCTGGATCGTTGTTCGTGCGTGCCTCAACATTTCAAGAGTTTTCGCAAGGAGATGGGCATTGTAGAACAGCCGACACATGTTGTTGCTCAGCGGTCACTAAATCCTGCAGAGGCCCAGACTGAGGAGCGAACCTGGCTGCTGGATTTCACGGCAGTAGGGAGATTCATCACATTGTAACGCATCTATATTGGCATCGGCACATGAAGAAACGGGTAAGTGGATAGCGGGTCGCCGTTGAGAATACCATCCGGCCATCTACATATAACGAGGCTCACACGTTCATGTGACACCGTTGTGGCCTACGACACAGCCAAGATAGAGAGGCACAATTGAGATCTGCAGAATCTAGACAAGCTTGGATCTAGGGATCTTAATTGGGCCAGTCTACCCAGTGTTGCTTGGTCGCTCACGGTAGATGTACGCTCGTGTAGGACCAAGCCCATCCATAGCTGATAGCCAAGCAAACCCATCAAGGCGTGGGACCTAAAGGACTCGACGGCCAATTCGCCCCAGCCCACATCACACGACTGACACCATGAAGCGGGAGAAGCAGGCGTGGGACCTCGTTATCTTCATTCAGAGGCATCAAATGATTTGGCATTCCTTTCCCTATGACCGTAACATGCAATGCGTGGTGTCTAGCCGGAGCCGGGCATCCATTTTCCCTCCATAATTTTCCACCCCGAAGACTCCCACGATCAGACTCTTGCCGATGAAATTTAGAGTCCGTCTTAACTCCTCCCAGAAATTCCAAGTAGAAGTTCCATGTCGGTCGGCGGTGCCATCGAGATGAGACACACTGGTTCGGATTTTTGGGAAATCGAGATTTGGTGCGAGGTGTTTAGATGCCGAGGCGGGTCTTGCGCCAGTGGCGTCTCTTCGCGTTGTAGCTGTAGGAATCAGTGTCAGTAAAGATCGTTTCCGTCGTATCGTGGGAGCGGGCGCGCCCTGGGATCTCGTCGTGTCGACTCCAGAGACGGCGGCAGAGGGTGTATCGTACCGAATGGTGTTACCAGTGCGGAGACGGATCCATTGGGGGATAGGGCGGTTCTGCTTCTGCGCCTTGGCGAGCTTCTGCTTCGTGCGGAAAGACTTGTGGCTCTGTAATGGTTCCCAACTGTCAGCGCTCTGCTTCCCTTCGTGGTGTTTGAGGACCCCCGGGTCGTGGTGATGATATTTGCCCCTCCTCGATCCGTCCGCCAGCGCCGCGCGCCCGCGACCTGCGCGAACCACGCATTTCTCCGGTGAAATCGATCGGGCACAATATCATCATCGTCGTCGTCGCGGGGAGGGAGTAGGCGTCATCACGTACCGGCATTTTGACGGCTGTTGGCTGATCAAGGTAGTCGAGTCCTTTGGGTGCAGTTGGTTCTCCGATGGGTTTGATGGTTCGAAAAATCATAAATTCTGTGTGAGAAGGCACACTAGGTTAGGCGAGCCCGCAAATACCCTGATTGGCGGGGAGGGCAGTGGGTGGAGACGGTCACGCTTTTTCGGAAGGAGTCACTGCACGACGTGAGGCTTGCGCGCGCAGCTCAGCCTCAGCGGCTGCAGCTTGATTAGATAAGGATTGCTTGCAGTGACGCCTTCTCGACAGGTGCAAGGTCGTTCTGCTTGCCTCAGGCAGCATCAGCAGAATTCGGCTTATGTGATAATCCCTGACGTGCCGATAGGCTCGAGCGGCCGACGATCCCAGAAGTGGCAGGCCCGCGGACCCGTTGGAACGCCCAGAATTAACCATCCATGCAGGGCATGTCTTAAAAACTGTCAATTAGGGGGCCCTTTCCGTACCTTCAGGGGCCATCGAGATTCTTTTGCAACGGTCCTTTGTCTCCCATCTCTCAAAGCCGCGGAGTTGCGAAGAAACCAGAACCAAGTTTTTGCCTTTTACTTGACGAGACGACGAAACGGACGACGGACGCCGAAACCAAACCGGAAGAGGGAGTGTGTGTGCCTGAGTTGTCCTTTCAGGTTGTCGTTGTTTCCTGCTTCTTTGTACATAACCCGGACGACCGTCTTGTTACCTGTCGCCCCCCTGGATCGGAAGAAACAAGCCACCTTTTAGCTTGTCAAGCCTCGCCTTGCCTACCTACCTGCCTCTCCTACCACGACCCGAGGCCAACCGCGCACCTTTTTGAAGACTGCGACATTCTGCAGTCGCAGCGGCGAAACGCAACATCAACCCTAGCAACCGACGAAGTAACGACACTTACACATCCAACAAACCGTCAAGATGGGCGCGAGCATGTCATGGCTGTCCGGCCTCTTGTGGTCGAAGAAGGAGATCCGGATATTGATCCTGGGTTTGGTATGCATGCACCGCACCCGCGCCGCTGCTGCTGATGCTGCTGTTGGCCGGCACCCCTGGAGCCAGCGACCTCCGAAACGCAAGAGATGCAAGGCTGACAAACCGCGGGCGACTTGCACAGGATAACGCAGGAAAGACGACACTGTTGTACAGGCTGAAGGTGAGCTCCTGTCAGCCCATCCACATGCGCGCGCGCAAGGGGAAAGAAGCTCGGCACTAACTTTATGCTTGTTTAGATTGGCGAGGTGGTCACCACGATCCCCACGATAGGATTCAACGTCGAGTCCGTCACATATAAGAACCTCAATTTCAACGTCTGGGTATGCGAGAGGAACCCTCTGATTTCCTGGCATAGACCGAACGTCGAGGCTGACATGGTATGCGTGCGCCTGTAGGATCTAGGCGGTCAGACTAGCATCCGTCCGTACTGGCGGTGTTACTACGCCAACACGGCCGCAGTCATATTCGTCGTCGACTCGACCGATATCGAGCGTCTGCAGACCGCCGCCGAGGAGTTGGGCGCCATGCTCAATGAGGAGGAGCTCAAGGACGCGGCCCTGCTCGTGTTTGCCAACAAGCAGGACCAGCCCGGCGCCAAGGGTGCGGGTGAGATCTCGGAGGCCCTGCGACTGGGCGAGCTGCGCGACCGCAACTGGAGCATCATGGCATGCTCTGCCGTCGACGGCAGCGGTGTGACAGAGGGCATGGATTGGCTTGTCGTACGTTGTCACCCCTCAGCGCCGCGTTGGTTCAGATGACCACGGGTGCTCTTTCGCCCGACATGGACTAACTCCTCGTAGCAAACCGTCAACCAAGAGTCATAGAGGTCTGGCCTCGACCCTTGGACGCTGTTGAACAAGCCCTCCAACCCCTCATACATAACGCCCCCTCATGATTTATAATACACGCCCCGCTGGGTTGGGTAGACCTACGCATTGTAGTATGTTGTACGTTTGCGAGCAATGAACGCACAAGGTGTGACTTCAAAGCATCACGCTCGCCTTGAACTTTCGGCGTTCCTGTTTTTTTGGGACAGCGTAGGCGGAGCGAGAGGGCACACTCAACGGCCGTTTCCACTCGTCACAGGCGTCTTGGACGGACTGTCGTATGAAGGTGCCGCGCAGATAAATTTGACGAGGCGATCAGAGGGCCAGAGGCGGGGCAGATGTGAAGACAATTCCGAGTCGGTTCGTTGTTTTATTTATACGTTCTAATACCAGCACGGGGACGTCGTACTGCGTCCCTGGTTCTGTTCTGATCCTGCCAGTCCTACCGAAGCGTTCTGTCTGATATCTATGCCATGCCGTGCAGACGACTGCAACGGCTCCCTCTCAACAGCACCCACTACCCATCAAGCCCAAAGAGATGATTCCGTCATAGTTTTCTCATCATGGTGGTGGGTACGGACTGACCGCCGTCAAACATGCTGAAATCCGGTTGGTCAGACAACAGCGCGTTCTGAATTATCTGGTCCAAATCCTGCGTATCCATCGTTGGCACGGAGCTGCCTCTCAAGACATTTGCCGATTTTGGTGGGTTGCCTTTTGACAGCCTAGGAAGAAAATTGACGTCGCTCTCGCTGCTGAAGTGTCCAACAAGCCTCCGCCGTTTGTTGGGCCCCTGGGGGTCGTTTCTGGTGTCGTTTCTGTTGTCGTTTCTGGTGCCGCTTCTGGTGACTCTTTTGGCTGTGGTGCTGCCTTTGGCTTTGGGTGTGGCCTTGGCGTTGGCTTTGCTGCCTCCACCACTGCCTCCGTTGCCTCCGTTGCTTCTATCGTCTCTTTCGTCTCCGGATCCCTCGTCATTGCCTCCATCATTGCCTCCATCGTTGCCCCCGTCGTCACCCCCGTCGTCACCCCCGTCGTTGCCTCCATTACCTCCATCGTTGCCTCCGTTGCCCCCGTCGTTGCCCCCGTCGTTGTCCCCGTCGTTGCCCTCGTCGTTGCCCTCGTCGTTGCCCTCGTCGTTGCCTCCATTGCCCCCATCGTCTCCATCGTCTCCAGGGTTTTCATCGGTTCCGCCCCCAAGACCTGTGGGGCTCTCGGGGCCTTTGCCTGGGCGTCCTCTGCGGCCTCTGCGTCCTTTGGGGCCTGGGGGGCCTGGGGGGCCTTGGGGACCTTGGGGACCTGTATTGACGATGACTCCGGGACCTCCCCCATTCGAAGCAAGGTAAGCCTGGTCCGCCTGAATGACTCGATGAAGATAGTTGATTTCTATCTTTGCTTTGTGCGTCGGGCTCATTGTCATATAGGCGTTTGGCATGCCAGTGTTGCTGAAACCATCAGTACGTATAAAATCCACGGCTGAGGGCAATGCTCACGTAGCTTGCTGCCTCTCTTGCGCCATCCATCCTTCGTTGCGATTCAGTCGTCGCAAGAATTCGTTGGCTTTGACTTGCATTGCTTGGGAGCGAGCTCGGCTCATGTTCTCGGACCTGTCGCGCAGCAAAACATCTGTGCAGGCTTGGAAAAGATCAACGGCCAAGTTTTTCGCTTCTTCTCGAAGCATGGAGTTGTGGAAATGCAACGCGGCCGCCCCTGCATACCTAGTAAGCATCATTTGACGACTCGGAATGTGGACTCTAAACTCACACTGTTGGATGTCCTCCGAACTGTACTCAGCTGTCCCGTAATTCGTCGTCGGGATTTGGTTAGGGTGGACTCTGTACATGATACCACTTCGGACTCTAGGAGGTTGGTTGGCCATGCTTTCTGCGTTTGCTGTGCCTGCAATGTCGGTGTGGAGGGACGTTATATCTTGTACTGGAATTGATGTAGCCAAGAAGTTGTTGGGATGAAGATGGGAAGATTGTGTACTTGAATTGGATGAAGCCAAGAAGTTGTCGGGATGAAGATGGGAAGATGAGCAGATGACTGACGTTGCCATGGGCTTATAAGGAAGACCTTCGGGGAGCTTCAGGCGGTGGAAGGTGAACACAACGACTGGTCACTCCTGCATGATTGAGGTTGAGACCAAAGCACCTGCCCGTTGGCTGGCTTTGAGTCGTGGCCGAGGGCAAGTACCTCTCGAAATGCCCGAGGTAGAGGGATCAGCTTGGCCAAACAGGGAGGCGATTCCTACTTCAACCTAACCTTCACTGTCGATCCCGTCACCCGCCTGCCCCGTTGCTATCTTCAATGCCCTCTTCTTTTCGCTTTCGGCGAGGCAATAACCTCGAGCTGCACTTTACCTAGCGTCTTCTCCTCCGGCCAAACTCTCATAACAGAAGGACCGCGGCGGATGCAGTGGCTACGCCATGGAACGAAGGCAACTTGGAAGGTAGTGGGAGGGATGCTGATAACGGCGATAGACGACGACGATAGTGAGGACCAGAGTAGGTATACAGGAAACGTAGTCGCTTTAGTATAGGGAAACTAGGGGGTCTCAATAGGATATACGGATTGCACGCGTGTGGTAGACACTGCCTGGATAGCCAACTGGCACTGTCCGGCTAGCGAGACTCTCCCTATTCCCAAATTCATAACCCGTCATGTCTTTCTTCTCATCCTCCACTCTGCCGCGGACCGTCCCTACGACACTATGCAACTCAAGCCAAACCCCCCACCAACGCGACCACTGCAGCTCCCATCGCCGCCATAATGAACAAGGACTCGACTCTGACAGCTGCCCCTGAGGCGCCGTAGTCGGCAGCAGATGTAAGAGCACCTGGGCAGCCCTCCTCCGGCGTGTGGGTACTAGAGCTGGCGTACAGTCCGACCGCCATCTCAAAGGAGCACGTCTGGCGTGTTGGTGACGAGGCTACAGAGGTCGATCCCGGCATCTTGTTTCTCCCGTTTGATGTCGTCTGCGGCGGGTAGAACGGGATTGAGACAGTGAGAGACGGGTTTAGGTCCGGATCTCCGGGGCTCAAGGCGGAGGTCGCAGTGGCTGAAAGGGTCAAAGACGCCGTGGTTGTTCTGGGTTTTGAGCAACCGAATTTAGGAGAGGTGCCGCAAATCTCGCCGACTTTGCAGCTCCAAGGCTCGTCTCTCTCAGGATCGGCGCAACATATCTCGGTCTTGGTGATGCATCCTCTCATGCACGGTTTGAGCCCGTCCTCACATTTCTCGTCGTCCTGGCGTTTGGCGATCTGGGAAGCGGGCAGAACCTCGGCACCTGGTGCTGCCGCTGCCGCTAGGAAGAATGAAGCGCTGATAAGAGCTGTGATGAGGAGCATTTTAGAATTGCAGAGCTTCACAAAGCTGAAGGCGCCGTGGTAGTAACCGAAGTGTACAAAACACTTCAAGAAACCCTGGGAGTAGTCTTCAACATGGCCTCTTATATTCTCGGTCAGCCTTTGCAGTGATTCACCCCTTTAGCCAAATGCGATGAACTCATGTTTGCTCGGGTATCCTCCCTTCAACGTACACATCGAAGCCGGGTCGGATGCGGGTGTCACGTTTCTTCTCGGGCGCGGAGAGTTTGCCATGTTTGCCAAATCCCACCTGCCCACCTCGTGTCAACTCAAGCTTGTCCTTCTTTTGGTATCATGCTCAGCATCTGGGGTAGTGCCGTTGGACAGTTGTTCCCGACAAGCATGATCTTGAAGGACAAAGCCTGCCCGTGGCACCTCAGAGCCAAGTTTGCCAAGAGGGGAGGCAGGTCGGGACTTGTCTGAAGTAACCGATAGGCTTGATTAATTGCCTAATGTTGAAAATGCAAAACCAACTACTGCAATCGACCTTCCGGGGCCGTGGGCTGCGTCGTTCCCAGGACCCATGGATTGCCAAATCCAGTATCGACTGTCCACTCAAGGGACGCAATGCGGATCTGTCACCGGTTGTCTGCAGAGTGTTGCGCGGCATTTCCTATCATTCCATGGGTAAGTATGTTCGAGCTCCTGCCTGTATTGTCTGCGGCAAAAAACGGTGTATGCGTCCTTTGGGGTGACGTTGGGGCTCAACGACAGCATCTCCCATTTTCAGGCCATTTTGACTGACTGATTGACTGACGCATGGTCGGTGGAATATCACTGATCACTCTCAGTTCGAGGGCCAGTCCGACCAGAATGACACATGTACGAAAGATAGAGGAGATGCCCTCACGATAGAATGCGGAGGCAATAACAACCTTTTTAGAACGTCTAAGAGACCGCCTGTTGCATGAGTTACAAGCCTTAGGGTATTCGTCATTTGGAGTAACTACTGGGGACGTGTCAGCCTTTTGAGTCACCGTGGAAGGGTATACGGGCATCTCTGAACTCGTTCGTCTCTTGAAGCCTAGTCTGTGATAAAACAAACCACTTAGTCGTTTGTGGCTGTCAAATGAGATTATGTGACGTTCAGGCCCGGCGATTCGCTATGGGATCGCTTGTGGAATAATGTAAAATTCTCTGGACTTCACCTGCGCAGCGAAGCGTATCCCTCCTACCAAGCTCTGACGTAGCAGGAGCGGCTTCCGCGTATGTAATGGAAAAGCACCTTCCATCTTGTCCAATACAAACTCTCGAACAACATAATCTTGTGAAGGCCACCATTGGCAACTCTCCACTTGCCGCCATCTTCTTCACTTTTCACAATGGCAGCTCCAAGGGTTTCCGACGCGGACTACGAGGAGATCTCGGAAAACTGAGCAACCTCAGCCGTGAGTCGCATATTCCGCAGTAACAAGTCGCATGAACATATTGTTGACCGAACCAACAGGAGTCTTCGAGATGCGCTACAGAGAAGCCTGGACTCTGGCTAGCAAGGGCAAGCGGGAGGAAGCCGAAAAGCTCGCTACAGAGCTCCTCATAAAGCCGCGCCTTGGTCCCATCCACAAGGCCGGCATGCACATGCTGATGGCGACGTCATCTCAGGATGACTTCTTGGACCACGCGCGAAAGTCTGCGGAGATTTACGAGGCTATCCTCACCAACGATCTCACGGCTGTACAGCGAGCTCAGATGGAAGAGGTTCTTCCCGACGCCAAGGTTGTTCTGGAGCGAGCGCACGGCGACCAGAGTGCCATCGATCGTGAGATCAGCAAGAAATTGTGTGTACACATGACCTCGACTTTGCGTGTCACTCAACTAATGCTCTGTAGGACAACCATGACGATGAGCCAGAAGCTGAACAGACGAATGTGAGGTTCCTAGCCCGCCTGACTCTGACTGATCTCTTTGGCGAATCTCGGTCTTGGGCCACGGCCGTCGCTGCGCGGTGTCGAGATAAACACCAACCTCGGAAGCCAGCTTCTGCCTGACAATGTCTCAGGAGTCTGGCAGAAGCAGACTTGACGCAGAGAACGAGGTGCAAGATGGGCGGATAGAGACAGACGGAGGAAATGGTAGTCATCGACGGTAGATACCAGTCGATCTGCCAACTCCTATGCTCCATTTGAAGAGGAAGACTTCCGCAAAGGAGTGAAAACACGGTGACTTTGACAAATGCAAAACTCATCTTTGGTAAGAAATGCTGCATCCCCAGGCCCTCTATCTGTGATTGCTTCGCCGCGGAAGGCTCTCATATGCGATGGAGACGAAGCTGGCGCTCCCCGAGTCAACAAGAAAGAGGGACAACAGACAGCGATTGACAATTGTTACAGATTCTAATGTGCTGAGTTTCTTCATGTTGACATCCCTTGACTGACTGGCAGCTTCGGAACGCCACACATACAGGGCTCGGCATCTTTCCGCGTTCGACCGACCCCATTCCGTAGCTTCTCCGCCAACGATGGTGGAGTGCCCCCGGAACAAGCCATCTCTCCATCAAAAGTCGGGTTCTCCCGAAATGCTCTGACTAGATAACTTGATTCCTTGGGCTCTTTAATATTTTAACTTTGGTTTAGTTTTACGATTCGCATGTGAGGCTTTCAATCCAAAAGTCGCACATCAAAGGTTATGCCAAAGTCCGGATACCTCCGGGATATCACCGAGATGCGAGCCAAAATCTCGGCGGTCTCGGCGCAGCAGCGGTCGGAACGCCAGCCGGCCGTAGCGGAATGCGAACCGAAGGCCGATCATGTGAGGACGCGAGCTGCCACTTTCTCCCTTTCCGGCAATGGAAAAACGTCGAGGCTGGACGCGACTCTGTTGCGTGGTAAGCCATCCAGACATGTCGCGAGCTCGGCGGTGTGCGCAGGATTGCCGTCTCCCGCTCCACTCCGGGGACAGGGAAGGCCATCGCGATAGGACGCTTCCCGGCGAGGCCTGCCTGTCTTTGACCAATGATGTCATTTGCTCTCCTGCATTTTTCCCGATTTAGGTAAAATACACGATGTGGGAATCCCGCTGTCTCTGGCTCGCGTCTGGAACAGAAACAGAAATTCGCACATAGCATGAACGACGGTCGACTTGTCGGGCAATGGAGAGATTCACTCGCATTGGATGTCGTCCGCGTGGTTCATCCAAAGGCCGATGGTGTTTGAATGTCGAGTGTAGTCTGGAGGCATACAGGCATGAACCTCGTCGCGCACAGCCGATTGGCGCGCTGCTCGACTTGCAACATCTTTTCCTCTTCAGACGTCTACTGGCCGGGAATTCTGGACAGTCGCAAAGCTAGCCTAACCGTCGAGGTGCATAGGGGTGGTCTGATGGATCCATAGGACCAGAGTCGTTGGTCACAGGCGACATGCTGTACCGGCCAAATCCATGTTGGCTGTCATCCGTCTCAGCGAGTTTTCTCCGCATCGCTCAAGAGGCTGGAACCTCTCCAACTTGACGACAACCGTCCCGGCGCAGAGCGTCTCCCCCGCAACATCTGGGGAGGTCAGTAGCACCGGGACATGACTGGTGTACCCGGCAGCAGAAGACAACTTGGCAGAGGTTGCTGTGGGACCATGCCGTTGTCGGAGGGGCCAGGCGACGTGTGTGAGCCGAGGATGAGCGCATGTCCCGTCTCACAAGCATACATCACTGCTGACCCTTGCCGGATGTGCTGGTGTCTCCCGACGGCACAGCGTTGCCTGTGAGCTCTTTAACGCAACAGACGCGGCTACGTGCGTCTAAAGACGTTGCCCGGCGGGCAAGAGGTGAGCCGAGGTTGAGTTCTACCTTAAGTTGGGCAACAGACAGAAGGATAGCCGATCGTCTTGCTGCTGAATCGTTTAGACACAACTCAGTGAAAAGCCACGGGTGGAGCGACAAGGGGGCTGAAGAGCGCTAGGAAACCTCGAAATGGAGCTTCGTGTGGATCTCAACACCCCAAGCTTGCATTTATGTGACATTCCATTGGCCGTGTCGTGCCGGAGCTTCTCAAATCTGATGGCATCCCTGCCGGTCGACGCATGTCGTGCCCTGGCTTCTGCTTCGTAACTTGAGCGCCCTGAGTGGGAGAAGGTCCCCAAAACCCGAAAGAAATGGGGGGAGAGAAGGAGAGAAACTGGAGCACGATGGGGAGGGGCCGAGGTGAGGGCCCCATCGCAAGCTGGATGGATTGCCCGGGGGCATTTCTTTTTCTCTGCGCGCAGCTTTGCAAGTATTTATGTTTCCCCTTCCCTCCCGCTGGACCCCTGGAGATCCTCTTTGATCTTCTTTTGATCTGAATTGCCAATTGCCGCTTCTGTTTCTTGATATCCAACTTGGACTCAAGCAGCTAAGCAACAACACTCTAGCAGTGTAACCCTCCAACCCGCCCTCCCACATCCGAACCCCCGTAGTCTCATCCTCGACTCGAGAGACAGCCGACACGATGGGATCCGACGAGAAGCCCCCTTCCACCTACCGGTACAACGAGAAGCCGACTTACACCACCTCCAATGGCGCGCCGGTCCAGAACCCCCAGCACTGGCAGCGTCCCGGGCCCAACGGACCTCTCCTGCTCCAGGACTTCCACCTGATCGATCTGCTTGCTCACTTTGACCGCGAGCGCATTCCCGAGCGTGTCGTGCACGCCAAGGGTGCCGGTGCTTATGGCGAGGTATGGCGGAACAGCGGGCGGTCTCTGAAGGCGAGACACTGACATGCGACAACAGTTCGAGGTCACCCACGACATCAGCGACATCACCTCGATCAACATGCTCAACCAGGTCGGCAAGAAGACCAAGGCCGTCGTTCGTTTCTCTACCGTCGGCGGAGAGAAGGGTTCCGCCGACTCTGCGCGCGACCCCCGCGGTTTCGCCATCAAGTTCTACACCGAGGAGGGCAACTGGGACTGGGTCTACAACAACACTCCCGTCTTTTTCATTAGAGATCCCAGTCTTTTCCCGGTACGTTCCTTTCGATAGTACAAGTTGCTGTTCCGAGCTTAGACTGACGTGGTGTTGCAGGTCTTCATCCACACCCAAAAGCGTCACCCCCAAACCAACCTTACAGATGCCAACATGGTTCGTAAACCTCAATTCCAGTTCACAAGATTAATTCTAAATGATTCAGGCTTTCGATTACTGGTCGACTCACCATGAATGCGTTCATCAATTGATGCATTTGTTCTCTGATCGTGGAACTCCTTACTCTTACAGACACATGAACGGTTATTCCGGCCACACGCACAAGTGGACCAAGCCCGACGGCTCTTTCCTCTACGTTCAGATCCACTTGAAGACCGATCAGGGAAACAAGACTTTCACTGCTGAAGAGGCTGGCAAGATGGCTTCTGAGAACCCCGACTGGCACACCAAGGACCTGTTCGACTCTATCCAGAAGGGCGACCACCCCAGCTGGACCGTCTACGTCCAGACCCTGACTCCTGAGCAGGCTGAGAAGTTCAAGTGGAACGTCTTTGACTTGACGAAGGTCTGGCCTCAGAGCGAGGTGCCTCTGAGGCCCTTCGGCAAGCTCACTCTCAACAAAAACCCTGAGAACTACTTCGCCGAGATCGAGCAGGTTGCCTTCTCGCCCTCCCACTTGGTTCCCGGTGTTGAGCCCTCAGCCGACCCCGTCCTCCAGGGCCGTCTGTTCTCTTACCCTGATACCCATCGTCACCGTCTGGGTGTCAACTACCAGCAGATCCCCGTCAACCAGCCCCTCAATGCCTTCAACCCCTTCCAAAGAGATGGTGCCATGGCCGTCAACGGCAACTACGGTGCTAACCCCGTGAGTTGAAATTCTGTCAGCGTTGTTCATGCCAGTTTTGTTGACCTCCTTCAGAACTACCCTTCAAGTTTCCGCCCTATCAACTACGTCCCTGTCAAGGCTGCCAGCTCTCACGAGCAGTGGACTGGCAAGGTCGTCGAGGATCTCTTCGGACCCATCACCGCAGATGACTACGAGCAGGCCAACGGTCTGTGGAAGGTCCTCGGTCGCACGCCCGGCCAACAGGAGAACTTTGTCAAGAACATCTCTGGCGCTCTCTCCGGCGCTGTCCCCGAGGTCCGCTCGCGCACCTACGAGATGTTCTCCAAGGTCAACACCGAGCTTGGCGGTGCCATCATGAAGGCTACCGAGAAGCTTGCTGCGTAAGTCTTCTTCTTAAAGGTTTCCAACGATACACTAACACAGGTGACAGTCCTGAGGAGCCTCGCGCCAAGTTGTAAAAAGCTACGAAGTCAAGATGCAAACAAAAGATGACGATAGACAAACGACCTAAACGAGAGTCTCATTACCTAGAGTCAAGCATGCGTTTGACAGGATAGACGCCGTGTACAACCACCACCTCCGCGCCGAGGTTCGAGAAGACACAAGAAGCCGAGCGGGCAGCCGTGGATGATGCGCGCGCCGCGAAGAAAGCTTGAAATACCCAAATACAATTGTTTAGAAACTGTTCTAAAGATTTATACATGATCTTGGTGGCGCATGAAAAATCTCATGGCCTTGGTATATGTGCAAATGCGCCCGTCCCTTTCCGTCCGTGAAATTCATAAGTCCTCATACAAGTCGCCCGCCGCTTGCGCGGATTGGGGTTCAGAGCGGTCGCTTCGTATTCGTCGACGCCGACTCGGGAATTCGATCTACAAGAATGAAGAATGAGGAGCAACCGGTCGGTGCCTCGTTGTGACATCTGATCGGGCCGCCGCCGAGATCGACTAACAGCAGCAGCAGCAACATTCGAGGCATTCGAAGCAGCAGAGGCCAGCGCAGATACCGCAGCAGATGGCCTGCAGCAGGTGAGAGTTGTTTGTTAGCTGTTTGAAATTCCAATGGTGAGTCTCGAGCATCAACCTCCCCGAACCTACGTGCGACTTGAGCGCGTCGATGTGGTTTGCGAAAACGACAGGACTTTTACAAGACGTGGTCAAGTTTGGGGAAGTTGACGAGGAGAATCATGGGTTGGGAGCTGGAGGGCTTTGCTTACTCCGCCGTCTGCTTTACCTCCTCGAAGGGACGTTGACTGTTCCATCTTCATGGGCTCTACCGCGCGCTGGTGAAAACTGTCAGCGTGAGATCACGCGTGTCATCTCGATTATGGGGCGAAGAGCTGCTGTTCGAGTCCAGAGACCGAAAATCGTGGGTGACGGCGGAACTCACGGGTTGTTCGGAATGATTCGGCTCCACAATCATCGCCGGCGCAGGCTCCCTTGGCATCTGGTTGTATTCGACCGGACCCGACATTTTGAATATTACGTATTACAGGGGGTGAGACTAATTCGTCCTCGAATAGCCAAGTTCTTCGATGGATGGGAGCCGCCGGGTATTGTATGTCGTCGCGTCGACTCGGACAGAAGAGGGCCGGTGATTCTTTCAGCTTCGAAACCAAAGGTGTCGATGTAACGTTGGAAACACGGGTCGAAGGTTCAGGCACAACAAGGAAAAAAGGGAAGAGAAAGCCACAGACCAAACACGAGGACGTGCGGGAAATCCTTTTTATTAATGAGCAGAAGATTCGAAGACCAGCCCGTAGAACAATCAGAAACCGTGGACCGCGCGCCGCCCTCGCCAGGTCCGGGGGTCTCTCTGGGCCCCCATCTGCATAACGGAAGGCAGACTGGCTGCAGCTGGAAGAAAGCCTTGGCCTGGAAAAAGAGAATTAAAGCTCAGGGCAACTTAATCCGAGCCAGACGAGTGGTCCGAAAAAGAGTGCCAGACCGGGGTGTTGGTACGACGTCCGTTGTGTGAATACACGGATTTCAAAGGAAAAGCTGCAAGGATGGACCGGGCTTGCATCAGGCGGCACTTGCAGGTCGTGCTGCGCGTTCCGGTGTTTGCTGCGGGTTTGAGGATTACCACAGAAGCTGTTCGGCCGCCAGCCGAGGGCTGTTCACCTTGGGATAGGAAGGTGAAGCGGCTGGCAGCGTGACGCGAGCTCGGGATATCCCTTCATCGAGTCGCGGGCGGCGGTGCGAGACAAGGCTCCTTCGCCTGACCTCGTGGTGTGCCTGCTGTCGTGGATGGTGGGGGATCCTTGAGGTGGTGTTCGTGGTGGGGGGGAATGACCTCAGCGAGGGGTGACGCCAAACGCGGGCATGCGGTCGGCACTGAGGAGCGACAGACTGTGGGAAGGTTGCGTCGGAAGGAAAGTCTGTTCCTGCCTTGACATTACCTCTTGGGACGAAGATGCCTTTCAGTGCCTGTCCTGAATGGATTCATGCGAGAGTGAGGGATGACGGAGAGCGGAAGATGAGACGGCGGATGTTGGCTGCAGGAGGGGTTTGTGAGAATGCGACTACGGGCTATTTTGAGGCTTGCTAGTTTACGTTCATTGGCATGCTAATATGTGACGCGGCATTTTTAGTTGACGGATATGCTAAGAAAGGGTGCTGTTCGGTGGCAGTTAAAGTAAAGAGATCCCGGGAACCCGCCATGGGCTGACTCGGGCTGCCAACCAATGATCGGGTTATTGATGGGTTCTTTTTTCCTTCTTCTGGGCCCGAATCCGAGCGATCGCCGCTTACAATGGTGGGCGATCTGACGTGGTACTACGGGCTGCAGGGTTGCGGCGCCCAGAATATTCTTCAGCCCTTGGTGGACGATTCAAGAGAGACAATCTGTTGCTTGACTTGGAAGCGGCGTGTTTGGAGTTCGAGCGGGTTTCGTCGGGGTTAAGGGAAGGATTCATTGCGAAACCGCCGACTTCAGATGGAGGATCCAATGGAGTCGAGGTTGGAAATGATGCGGTTTGATGTAGCGGTTTGATGTAGTTCAAGCCAGAATAGTATCGAGATTGTAAGACATCACTTTTCCAAAATTGCTTGCCAGATGTCGTATGTAGATTGCCGGGACTTGCAAAGTTGAGCGAGCAAGCCGGGTCTAATCAAGACTGGCGGATCGCCCACGTGAAGAGACATACGAAATGCAGCATCCTAACTGATTGATGCATGCACAAGACTCCATCTCGGCCACCAGCGTTCCCTGCGTGCTGCAGTGTCATGAGCCAGTGCCGTATAACACGGACTGAGTGGGCCCGAAACCGGAGTCGGACCCGGTGGACTCGGTGATATCTCCGGTCAGGTGCACCGGCAGGACACTGCTTACATGCAATTCGAACAAACCTCCCCGAGAGAGCACAGAGTGACCAGAGAAAGACCTGAAAATGTTGGCCCCATCTAACCTTAGCACCAACAAGACCCCTAAAATCTGATGCAGTGCGATTAGCGCGCGCCCTCGGTTGGCCGAACCCCAGTCAAGGGATCAACAGCCGTCAAGCGGAGGGCGCAGTGTGGGCACTCAATCCGAGCCGATCCCCGCTACCTCTGCAACCCTTCAGACTTTAAAGCTCCCACCGGAACGGCTCCCGATCAACTCTGCAGCACTTTTTCACATCGTCGATTGACAACAAAGTGTTTGCAATTGACGCCGCCAGAAGAGTCGGAAGCAATGTCAACCTCAGAAACCGAGCTGAGACACCTCCGCGCCGGGGCTGGCCCGGCCCCAATGGCACCTCCCCCCGCGGCGACCCCGCCTCTTCGGGATCCGTACGCCACAGAGACCCCCGAGTCTGCCTCCGGCGTCGACGACAACGTCCAGGACAACCATCACTCCAGCCAGGAATTCGATTCGCTCCCTCCCGTCGACGGCGGCAAGCAGGCATGGCTCTACCTCGCCGCGTGCTTCGCCATCGAGGTGCTCGTATGGGGCTTCCCCTTCGCCTTTGGTGTCTTCCAAAACTACTATTCCACCAACGCCCCCTTCGCCGGGCAACCAAACATCGCAGTCATCGGTACCTGCGCCATGGTATGAATCCGACGAGCCCCAGATGCCCCGGATACTAACCTCCTCAGGGAATCATGTACCTCTCGGGCTTCCTCGTAATCGGCCTCCTCCGCCTCTTCCCCCACCAGAGCCGCCACGCACCCATCTTGGGCCTCTTCATCATGTGCATCGCCCTCGCCATGTCCTCCTTCTCCCAGACCGTGCCCCACCTCATCGTGACCCAGGGCATCTTCTACGCCGTCGGCGGCTCCATCGCCTACCTGCCCTGCATCCTCTACATGGACCAGTGGTTCGTCCGCCGCAAGGGCTTCGCCTACGGCGTCATGTGGTCTGGCACCGGCCTCGGCGGCGTCATCATCCCCCTCCTGCTGGAGTACCTCCTCGGCACCGTGGGCTTCCGCACGACGCTGCGCATCTGGTCCGGCGTCCTCTTCGGCCTCACCGCGCCCCTCGCCTTCTTCATCAAGCCGCGCCTGCCCGTCTCGCAGATGTCGCTCTCGCCCATCCACGCCGCGCCCTTCAAAAACCTCAAGTTCATGCTGAGCCGCCCCTTTGTGCTGCACCAGCTCGCCAACATCGTCGAGGCGCTGGGCTTCTTCCTCCCGGGCATCTACCTGCCCATGTACGCCCAGAGCTCGCTCGGCGCCTCGGCCTTCCCATCCGCGCTGACGCTCCTCCTTGTCAACGTCGCCTCCGTGTTCGGCTGCATCGGCATGGGCTCGCTCGTCGACCGCTTCTCGGCCCCGTCGTGCATCATGCTCGCCAGCGTCGGCGCCGCGCTCGGCACGTTCCTCATCTGGGGCTTCTCGTCCAGCCTGGGCGTGCTGTACCTCTTCTGCGTCGTGTACGGGCTCTTTGCTGGCGCGTATACTTCGGCGTGGCCCGGTATCATGAAGCAGGTCACCGACCACGAGCGTGAAAAGGAGCGCGGCGTCGACTCGAGCATGGTCTTTGGCATGTTGGCTGCCGGGCGTGGCATCGGCAACGTTATCTCGGGACCGCTGAGCGAGGCCTTGATCAGCGGTTCCCCGTGGAAGGGCGAGTTGGCACATGGGTACGGCAGCGGGTATGGCACCTTGATCATCTTCACGGGCGTGACTGCTCTCATGGGCGGAGCGAGCTTCTTCTGGAAGAGGATTGGGTGGTTGTAGAAGAAATGGATGAGTATGCAAGCTGAATTCAATTCTTTTCTAGAGCAGTCATCAGATGATCTATGTCAAATGATCTACCTCTGCGGACCTGTCCCGTTTTATTTTCCAGATGTGATGACCGTTTTTATTGCGCCGACTGTAACCCCACAATGCAAGATTTCTTTTGTAAAATGATTGCCCCCTTTTCCTTTTCAAAATGCGCCAAAATTACTTCCGTATATGCAGTACTTTAACAACAATTAAACATCAGGCATGTGCCTCGTCTAGGGGTATGACGAGTCACCACGCGCGAGGAGCGGTCGCTGATCCCAGCGATCCTCGTCGATGCTCTCGTCATCTTCCTCCTCAATGTCGCTGAGCTCGCCGTCGGTGCGGTACATGAAGTACTGCGCGAAGATGCCCATGTCGAGGAACAGAGTACCCAAGCTGCCGGCCAACCAGCTGAGGTTGACCAGCATGTAGCGGCCGTAGATGCGGTTCGCCTCGGACGGGGAGCACTCATTCTTGCAGCGGGGCTCAAAGGCAAAGATGCTCAGCACGTAGGTCAAGTTGCCGAGGCAGGCGAACAGGAAGAAGAGCATGCTGACGCCCTCGGTGGACTTGCGGCGGTAGTTTAGAAGGAGCTGAGGCAAACGGGAGCCGAGGTACAGGACGGCGCAGAGCCAGCCAAAGATCTGGCCGAGGGTGTTGAACTCCAGGGAGTCTTCGTCGCTGTTGCTGTGGTCGGGCTCCTTGTCGGAGTACCCGCGGCTGAGGAACCAGCCGAGGACACCGGCAGCGCAAACCATGATGATGGCGGTGGTGTTCCAGGCAATCGCCTGCAGGACGGTCGAGGGCCTCGGCGGGGGAGCGGGCGCGGATTCGGGGCGCATTGGCACGGCAGGGGAGAGATGGGACCAGTCGGAGCCTCGGCGCTCACGCTCGATCGCCGACGCGGGCAGGAGGCCGGTCCGCTCGTTCGGCTCGCCGGTGCGGTTGCGCGGCTTCGGGGTCGGGGGAACCACCTCGTCCTTCCAGGTGAAGCCGCGGTAGTAGAAGCATTGTCCCAGCAGAACCATGTCGGCAATCGTGTAGTAGATGGCGAGGATGATCTGGGCAAGAAGTCATAGCGTTAGCCAGGGTCATCGATGCTTGGGGCATGCATGGGTCGTGACTCACCATGGTCGGGAGAACGCCCTGAAGGACGGCGCCCAAGATATTGAAGACATCGCCAGCCAGCCAGACAATGATGAACTGCAGTGACAGACCGTCGGCACTGCCGCGACGGAAGTTTTCGAGTATCTGGGGGGAGAAGACCACAACCCAGCAAGCAATTGAGATGGAGCTAGACGCAATTAGGTCAGAGGCTGTAGATTTTGCAGGTGGGCGTGGTCAAACTTACCCGCAAATGCCAGAAATGGCCTCAACGTCGAGGTTGAGTGGCTCGGTAGGGGGAGCCATGATGATGCGCAGGTCGGAGGCGTGATGCGACAAAGTGGTACCACAAAGGAGACAACGATACGAGGAAACAAAGGAGAAGAAGAAAAGATCCTGGAGAAGGAAGGGAAACGATCAATTAGTCTAGTGAAGGAATTGCCGACTCGATATTAGCAACGGCAATAGCAAAAAAGGGGTGTCCTACAAATCCTGGCGATGTCGAGAGGAAAGACTTTTCCATGGACAAGACATTTGCGAAAATGAGTCGAAAAATTGGAAAGCTGCTCCCTCCCACTTCCGCTTCGGCGCTCGCTCGCGCCATCGGCGGACACGTGCGCCAGCAGGTATTTCGCCAGCTGCAGCTTACCTTAGCGAGGTGCCACGACGTCACCGCTATTGCCCGCTGTCGCCGGAAAGGGTCGCCAAAATGCGGGGGAAGAGACGCTAAGACGCGCTGAAACGCCCACTTTTACCAGGTGCTGCTGTGCAGGATTAGTGCACTCAGCTCGTCCTCCAGTGCTGGACTGGGAACGCCCTGGGCAGTGGGTGGTGGGCGATGACTAAGAAATCGGAATTTTCGCCTCGGCAAGATCCCCCAATCCACTGGACCTCGATGTTCTGGGCGATTTCGGGGGCCAAGTCGGAGTGGAGATAAGCTTAAGCACCTCATCTCACTTGACATCTGACTTGTCGCGGGCTGCCATTGGAGTACCGTCCCTCTGTCACCAGCTCATCCCGGGGTCTCCTTCGCTGGAAAAAGGCTCGCAATCTGTCTGGCTTCTTGCAACAGAGCTGTACCTGATGCGTCGGGCAGTGTTGGCGTCTGTCGCTGGCGGGTGTCAGGCCGAATGCCGCGACAACTCCGGGTACCTACCTACCTACCTAGGGCGGGCAGGTAATGACCAGTCGATGGCCTGCTCCCGCACGGCTGCTCTGCTCCCACAGGGGATCTCCGGAAGCTCCATTTATCGGAGCTCAGGCGGCGAGTCGTGATTCACCGTCACGGCTCCATCGCATTGCGTCCCCGCCATCCGTGTCTCTTACATCTGATTAATCAGCCGGGACAGCCCGCCGCCACTACACGTCTTGAATATTTGCATCTCCAGGAACACTCCAAGTGATTGCTTGACAGACTCCAGCCATAATCATTGTCTTGGTCCTGAGAGCTCAAGCCACCCACCTCGTCTCCTGCATCGGCGACAACTGTCACACTCACGCACCCGGAAATCCCGCGATAGCTTCACCGCTGCCCAACCAAACTCGGCATGGGTTCTCAGATCCCCAATCTCCCTGCACCCGTCGACCACCCCGACTCGATGCTGTCCCGGAAGTTCGGACGGGAGACCGTCAACTACTTCGCCGGCAGCGCCCTCAATCGTGTTGGCTGGCTGCGGACCGACCACACCTTTATCAGATCCGCTTTCCAGGCCAAGGAGACCAACTTCATGCTCCTCAAGGACCTCAGCCCTTTGACCAGCGCCCCCTCAAAACTCGCATTCGTGTCTTTCGACGATGTCAAGTCTGTGACCTCGGAGGACCCCTTTGGGCCTTCCGAGGAGGACCTTATCAAGAACTACGACTCCTCCGTCTCCCGCCCGCTCATCATCTTCCTCGGCTTGGAGGAGGGCGCCAAGGTCCCGTTTGAGTACAAGGGTCTCCAGGGCCGTCCTTGGTTTGCCGTCGACGTGACCCCCAAGGGCCCGTACGCAGAGGCTGCCAACCAGCTCATCGAGGCCCAGTCTGCCAAGGGCAACACCTTCCTCCAGGGCACCAGGCACATCACCCTCGAGCCGGATGCTGGTAAGTCACCGTGAGAACCAACACAGTCTCCATACGCTAACGCACACCAGCCGGCATCTACGCCCAGGCCAGGTCACTTGCTGACTGGAACTCCCGCAACAAATTCTGCGCAGGCTGCGGGCAAACCACCCTGTCAGGGAACACTGGCTACAAGCGCCTGTGTCCTCCCACGGATCTTGCCGGAACCAAGGCTGCGCTTGACAGGCCCGAATGCCCCACGCGCGGCGGTGTCTCCAATATCAGCTTCCCCAGGACAGACCCGACCATGATCGCCGCCGTCGTCTCTGCCGACGGCCAGAAGGTTCTCCTTGGTCGCCAGAAGAGGTGGCCTCCCCACTGGTACAGCACCCTCGCGGGCTTCATCGAGCCCGGCGAGTCCATCGAGGAGTCTGTCCGCCGCGAGGTTTTGGAGGAGAGTGGTGTAAGAGTTGGCAGAGTCGTCATCCACTCGAGCCAGCCGTGGCCGTACCCTGCCAGCTTGATGATCGGTGCCATCGCCCAGGCCCTTCCTGATGGCGAGACCATTGACCTCGGAAACGACCCCGAGCTCGAGGACGCCCAATGGTTCCCTTTCGAGACTGTGAGGGAAGCGCTCAAGACCGGCGTGAGCGGCCTGGGAGAGGCGGCACCCGAGGGATACAAGGAGGGCAGCCTCCGTCTGCCTCCCCCCACGGCCATTGCCAACCGTTTGATGACTGCGGTGATTGAGGGATACGCAACCACCATCCCCAAGATGTGAGGGTGTGATGCGGGCGCCGGCGGGGTTATAGCGAGCATAGACGATGGATAGAACTGGATGAATAGACGTGAAAGTGTATGTGTGACGCAATGACATCTACATGATGAGGTGCACCGTGAATGTTGTGTTTTACGGTGACATTTTGAGACAGGTCGGGTTCAGAAGACGGGCGTAGACGGCTAAGACGACGGACGGGTCGGACAAGAAAGTTGGCTGATGTGAAGAGCAATCAACGATGGCTATCCGGCATGCAGAAATCAACCGCTCGAGAAACATGACCTGATCTACGAGCCAAAGCTTCAACAACAGGGCGGAGAACTGTAGTTGAAGCTTTGAACAAGCACCCGACGATGAGAACATGCGGAGATTTAAATCAGTCGACTCTCCGGGTTCTCACGCATGACGGCGGCATAGGGCTGAAGAGCCGCCAACGCAAAGTCCCCTGAAACCCCTGCACTGCCCCCACCGATGGCGCTACGGACAGCGTGTCAGCGCCGGAGGACAGCACCAAGCTCCAGCGCCAGCTCCCGTTCCAAGCTCCATCCACCTCACCTCCATCGTCCCCATCCCGCCCTGCGCCGCCAACGAAGCCTCCGTCGCCGATAACCTGCCACGCCGCCCCGCCCGCCCTCGACCGCGCGACGAGCTTGTCCGCAAGCCACCGCTGCCCATCATGTATCACCTCGCAAAGGGCCTCTACCTCTTGGCCACCAGTAAAGAAGGTTCGCGCACATGAAACGACACGTCGTCTGGCCGGCTCTCGCTAACCTGCTCCTTTTGCGCAGAGTACTCCGTCATCCTTCTCGGCCTCGACAACGCCGGCAAGACCACCTTCCACGAGCAGGTCAAGTCGTTCTTCCTGCCCTCGCACCCGGACCCGAAGCTCAAGACCGTCCCGACCGTCGGCCAGAATGTCTCAACCATCACCCTGCCGGACATGTACCTGAAGATCTGGGACGTCGGCGGCCAGCACTCGCTGCGCCGGCTGTGGCAGAGCTACTACGCCTCCGCGCACGCCATCGTGTTCATCATCGACTCGACCGATATCGGCGACGGGAATCTGGAGCACGACAGCTCGGGGCGTCTGGAGGAGTGCCGCCTGGTGCTGGAGGACGTCCTGCAACACTCCGAGACGGAGGGCGTGCCCGTGCTGGTGCTGGCCAACAAACAGGACCGGGAGGATTGTGTCGAGGTTGTCAGGATCAAGGAGGGGCTGGTGAAGAAGGTGTTTGAGGGCGAGAAGGCGAGCAGCATCCGCGACTCGAGGGTGCTGCCCGTGAGTGCGCTGACGGGGACGGGCGTGAAGGAGGCGGTGGAGTGGGTGAGGTCGCGAGTGAAGTGGAACAAGGAGTCAAGGCCACCGGTGATGCGGTGATGCTGCGTACGAGGAATGTTCGTTTCGGTTTACGAGGCAATGATGTTTCACAAATCATTAGAGCGGCGTTTCTGGAGTTTGGCCCCAAGAGGAGGACGAGTACCCACGGGAGAAGATGTTCACTACCAAAGTTTGACGATTTCAGAGGGAGCGTATGTGGCTGGGTATCATTTTACAATTTTCCTTCTACGTCAGGCATGAAAAATCTATGCGTCCACTACTCTGTCATTCTCCGCAGACAACAGCTCCGAGATAAGACCGCCCTTGTCCCTCCGCTTGGCGTCGTCCGCGAGCTTCTCGTCCACCAGCGTCGAGAAATCCTTGGCCTTTTGCAGCGCCACGTTGCCGCAGTGCAGCAGCGTCACCGCCTCCACGGGCGTCCCTCCGAGTTTGGAAATCTGGCTAATCTCTCCGTGCTTGTTTAAGCTGACCGTCAGGCTGCTCGTCCGCAGCTGCTCCTCGAGCCAGTTGGCGTCGATGAGGGTGATTTCGCCCTCGTCGCCGTAGAAGCTGAATGTGACGCAGAAGGGGCTGTGCAGCCAGCTCAGGGGCACCGGCTCGCGCTCTGCCGGGGTGAATATGGTGAGGGCCTCGCCCTCGTTGCTGGTGTCTGGCTTGCGGAAGTGGCGCAGGGCGGCGATGACGCCGAGGCAGGCCGCGTCGGTGAGGTTGCCGTCGTGGGAGAGGACGTGGACGTCGGCGCGGACAGACCAGACCTTTTGGCCGGCGACAAGGCACAGCGACTCGGTGTCGAGGGCGCCGGACCGGCGGATCGTCTTCTCGAGCAGGCGTGAGAGCAGCACCTCGGCTTCGGTTGGGCGGTTGACCTCAAAGGCCGGCGACGCCATGGGGCTCAGCTCAGTGACGATTTGGAAGATGCCCTCAAATGGGCGGTCTGCATAGGGGACTGTGACTTCTGCTGAGACTTTGACAAGGATTCTGTAAGATCGGTTAGCACATGACGTCCTTTGCTTCTCAAGATGTGACCATCTCCGTACGTTGTCTTGCCCAGCTCTACATTGGCCACTCCATACTCATCACCGAAAGTGAGTTGAACTTTTCGGTATTGGTCGAATTCACGGCTGTCAAGCCTCAAGTTCTCCTTGAGAGCTTGTGTGACGAATGCCTTCTCATTTGCTGATGGCTCGGCTTCTCTGGGCATTTTGGCGGTTGGACTCTTGCTGTAAGGGCCGATTCTCACGGTTCAGACCGAGAGCCACTCTTGAATTACTGGAAGTGTTTACTGAGGTCAATCGTATTGGTGGGGCGCCTGCAAAAATTCTGCCGGGCGGTGGGTGCCTTAGCTCGCAGCACCCCTGCAGCTAAACTTGGGCCTGTCAACCACCTGCGCGTGCAGCAGTGCATCTGGAGAAGGTCCCTTTTGCGACCGAGTTTAGCCACCTGCAATCATCAACACGACTACTACATCTCGACACAGCATTCCAAGATGACTACCGCTCACCGTCCCACCTTCGATCCGGTACGCTCATCTATACATTCGTTCTTTCTTTTAAATACTGACAAATGAATGCAGGCACGAGGCAAAGAAGCCCTGCGCGGCCCGGCCTACCATCAACGCCTCCTTCCGGCGCACACGCAGCTCAAGTTCCGCCAGGCCGGTCAGGGCGGCGAAGCTGACGACGAACCCCGCGATCTCAGAGCTGAGCTCCTCGCCGCCGAGGCCGCTCACTTCGCCAAGAAGAACGGCGGTGCTCCTCCCCCATCCGCTGCCGACGACGACGCGCCTGCCGGTGGCGTGAAGCGCGCGCTGGAGGCGGCATCACAAGCAGATGGCCAGGAAGACTTTGAAGCGAAGAGGCGGAGGATATTGGAAGAGTCGCGAGATGTAGACGCCTCCTCGGAAGATGACGAAGAGGAGGACGATGACAGCGATAGCGACGAGGACAGCGATGACGAGGAGGCGGAGCTGCAGCGAGAGATGGAAAAGATCAGGCGCGAGAGGGCGGAGAAGAGGGAGCGCGAGGAGCGAGAGAGGGCCAAGGCGGAGGAGGAGGAGAGGGAGCGGGACATTGCGCTAGGGAACCCGCTGCTGAACAAGCCTGACTTCGCCATGAAGCGACGATGGGACGACGATGTCGTCTTCAAGAACCAGGCGAGAGGCACCGAGGAGAAGAAGGGCAAGGAGTTCATCAACGTAAGTTTGTTGTGTGGATTGACACTTATGCGGCTTTGCTAACTCGAGTACAGGATCTCCTCCGCTCAGATTTCCACAAGCGATTCATGAGCAAGTACGTTAGATAGATACCCACCACCGACTTAAGTGGAATTCAGTTTCGTTTCGCATCGCATATGTTCAAATGCGGCTTCGTGTCGTGTCCACCTTGGCGCACTCAATTACTACACCACCAGAACCTGACACTACAGGATCTTCCTCATGTCGCCCCTGGACCTCATTACACCGGCCTTCTTGTCAATAAAGTTCTTCTCGTCGGGTTCAATTACGTTGAGGTAGTAGTCGTCCTTGAAAGCGGCTGCAAACACCTCGAAGCTGGGCAGTTCGAAGACGGCGCATCCGTCGAAGCCCTCCAAAGAGTTGGCATCGCCAGACTCGGGTCCTATAGGTGTTGCTCCTTTGTTCATCGCCTGCGCGGCATGGACCTATGATGGGGAACGTTCTTAGTCGAGGAATTCAACGGGAGTGTGGCGTGTTTACCTGCGTGTAGGAGATGAAGCCATGCTTCTCGGCCCAGGGTCTGACAAGAGGCCCGTGAACATTCTCCCAGTGATGGTAGAACTCCTCCTGCGTCAAGTCTGCCTTGCGCTTGAGAAAGGCTATGCTGCAGACTGTGTTTTGTGGCGTCTCTGCGGCAGTTTGGTCGCTCATGTTTGGGGATGCACGTCGACGACTGACGCTGGATTTATCTATAGACTAGTTGTGCAGTTCAAAACACGATAAACACATTCTGATCGAGAACCCGTGAGTCTTAGCACGTTGGGGTTTATTGGAAATATGCGGGAACGCTCCAGGGTGCTGGCCCGGATAATATCAACCGGCAGCGGCTTGGTGCAGGTTACTGTTTGCGCTCCAATGTTGTCGACACGCTCACACACACACAAGAGTACCTCAGTCTTCAGGTCCCTGCAGCTCACAATTGGATTGGGCCCAAAGTACCAGGTCTTCGGAGTAAACTCCGCCAGTGCTACCCAAGTTATTTCTTGCATACATATCACGATGTGATCAATTTCGCGTGGGTTGGACGGGGGAAGCCTGGCCGTTCGACGTGTCCGTTTGCAGCAGCAGTTTGCGGAAGCTTGGGACTGATCAAGTGCTACTTCAATCGGAGAGGACACAGAATGATAACGTGGACATGTTGCTCTTCTGCCTAGCTTCAGCATCGGGCGTTACTGCCACAGCCCTCTTCCTTCTCCTGCCTTTCCTTCTTCCCGGTCGGGGTGTCTTTCCCTGCCTACGGTAGGTTGGTACGAAAGGACGCCACTTCCACCTCCTTGCGCCTGCCTGACCTGACCCTAAATCATTCCTTCCTTTTTTTTTCTTCCACCCCTCCTTGCAACATCACTTACACTTTCAGCTTGACTCTTCAGGTAATTTGCGAAATATATCCTCCCTGTCAACTTCAATGTTCTCCCTTAGCTGATTGAGTTCAAGCACGAAACTTCCTGACAGCTTTATTTCCCCCTCTGGTCCAAAGAGAAAATTCTACCCCACCGTTTACATCTTTGTGCCTACCACAACCTTCTCAACGCCAAGCGGGGTAAAGCCATGTTTTCACCACCGGACATCGACTATCTCGACCTGCCCAATGGGCGGACCATCACCGTCTGCGCGCTTCACCACCAAGTCGTTTGCGGTCGCTGCTGCCTTGATTTCAGCTATGAGGTAGAAGACGGCTACGACGAAGACGAGGAAGAGGGCGTACTTGAGCGTCTGGAACGCAAGTTCCGCCAGGGCCGCTTGATGGACGAATCATCAGACGAAGAGCTCTTCAGCACTGGTATCAACGCCTTGCCCCGTGATGTCACTTTCGACGATGTCGCCAACAGCAAGTACGGACGTAAGCGCGACTTCGCCGCGGAGGACATTATTGAATCCAAGCCCATCCGGGACGACGACATCAACAAGAAACCACTGGGCAACGTCATTCCTATCGTGTTTGAACCAGATAACGACGCTCTATCCCCAGTGGAACACTTCCCTCCCGGGGTCAGTATAAAGGCAATGCCAAATGTAGTGCGCTTCATAAATCGCTACGACAAGTCAGAGGCCCTCATCTACACCGACGGAGCCTGCCTCGACAACGGCGCCGCGAAGGCTCGCGGCGGCTGTGCATTCGTCTTCAAGCCCACTTATTCGGAGAAGGAGTCCGGCGTGATCTCTTTGCGCCTCGAGAACCAGGGCCCGGGTGGCGAGGTTTACCAACACACCAGCAATCGCGCCGAACTGCGTGCCGTCATCGCCGCACTGCGGTTCCGCGAATGGTACGGCGAGGGCTTCAAAAGTATTGTCATCGCTACGGACTCGACCTACGTCGTCAATGGCGCCACGGACTGGGTGCGGGCATGGATGCGCAAGGACTGGCATCTGAGCACTGGCGGCCGCGTCAAAAATCGTGACCTGTGGGAGACGCTTCTGCTCAGGATTGAGCAGCTGAAGGTCAAGGGTACTCTGGTTCAGTTCTGGAGAATTCCGCGCCAGTGGAACGGCAAGGCCGACCGGGCGGCCAAGGACGCTGCCGCCAATCTCTCAGTATCTGAGAAATTTGTCGACGTCATTGGACAGCTCTGTTAAGAAGCCTCTGGCTGATTGATGCACCTTGCTAACTCGGAGTGGACAAAACAATATTCCTTAAATCTTGCGTTTAGCGCAGAGACGAATGTTAGATCGGTTTTGTGGTGTGAGCGCTGTGAGCTGTTGACGGATATCTTCGTTTATGAACTGCTCTGAGCAGCCAAGCCCAAAATAGGGCTTGGCAAACCTGTAACATCAAACATGATTCACATAATCACGGTCACGCATTGTCCCACAACTGGTGATTCGGAAAAGGATGTGGTATTGGCCGGCTCCTAATCCGAGCGCAGAGCTTCCTATGATTGCCCGTAGTCCTTTCCCATTCCTAGGCTAGCGTGCCTCATGCACTCATCACAAGCGCGCGAGGACGCAGCCCCAACGGTACTCTAGCACAGACGCCGTAGAAAACCAACGACGCGCTTAGTAGAGGCGCTTGGGGGGAGACATGGTAGCCTTGATGGTAAGGCTACCGACGTTCTGCCAGCCCTTCTTCAGAAGGGAGACGAGGTAGTTGATGGCCAACATGATGTTACCAACGAGCTCCTCCTGGGTCATGCCAACGTTGCCGACGGCGACACCCATGCAGAGAACCTTCTTCAGCTGGAACTTGATGGTGGACTTGACCTCGTTGATGCGGCCAGTAAGGTCGTCGGAGTGGGAGACGGGGGTGGGGAACTTGCCGGCTGCGAGGAGTTGTTAGCTGCTGTTCGATTGTGGCAAGAGAGGAGACGCGACATACCCTTGGACAGACCAGGACCCAAGAGACGGGGGATCTGCTTGATCAGAGTCTCGGAAGCAACGAAGGCGTCGTACTTGCGAGCGAGCTTCTTGATCAGCTTCTTGTTCTTGTTGAGCTTCTTGAGATCGTCGGCGGACATGGCGTCAACGCCACCGTGCTTGGCACGGTCGATATCGTGCTGGTCACCAAGAATGCAGATGCTCATGTTGGGACGGGGAACGATGGGCAGGCGGACGGTTCCGGAGAAACGCTTGTCACGCTGGGGGTCATAGTTCTTGAGGCCGATCTGGAGCTCGACAGTCTCCTATGAGGGGGTTAGCGGTTGTGGTGACAATTGACGTCGCGCAAGTCTCTGGATTTTCTCGATTCGCAGTGTTGCGACGCCGCCCGGGGAGGGAATACTGACAAGGAAGTTGCGCTTCTTGGTCTCGAGGGAGTACTCGAGGAGCTCACCGACCTGAGCGCGGACGTTGGCGACCGTAATTTTCGACATCTTGGCGATATCTCCCAGTAATCTGGTGCTTACGGTAGATGTTGATGGGTTGTTGGGTGATGGATCGAAAAAAAGAAGGAAAAGCTCGAAAAAAGTTTGGGCGGGGCGGCCTCGTTTTAATTAGGGCAGAGGGGATGGCCACTTGTGGGTGCGGCCCGTGCGCGTGTCGTTCCAGAAGGCGCAGGCGATTGGCTGAGGGGCCCGCCTCCCGCCTGCCGAATGAGTCTTCGCCGGCCGCTGCAGTGAGTCGACTGCCCCTCCATGTACCTTGCTGGTAGTGCCCCTCGGTGAAAATTCATTGCATGTCACCCGGCGCGCGGTACGGCATACCATCGCTCTGACGAACTCGTTTTGCGCCGGGCATTTTTATGTAAGACTTCGGTGCGAAAGTCAAGTACGAGATCAGTGCATCGCCGTCATACGCCACAGAGACCCTGAGGATCGCGCCAACCCCTGTCACTCATTCGGCCAGTACTTCGCTTCTGTGCCCCTCAGTTCTACTCCATCTCGCCGTGCCCCTCCATGATGAGATCGCAATGAAGCAAGACGCCCCCAAGTACGAGAGTTTCGTCAACCCGAGCGACCTGCTCAAATGGGTCGAGGAGCAGCCGGAGGAGTCATGGACGCCGTAAGAATATTCCAAATAAAGAAATTCCAAAACTTCGTTCTGAGGGTGTAGTTGGTTGACTTTTGCACCCCCTAGTCTCGCCCAAGATGTGTTTGATCACCTACTGTCTCTTGCCGCCCAGCCAAAAGGCATCTCTGGGAACTCATGCGTGAAGCTGTGTGGATTCGTCGAGCAAAGCTCCAAGTCCAGCAAGCCCGCCCTGAGAGAATGGGCCTTCTCCAAGGAGCCCAGCTTGGGCCTGTTCAACTTCTTCATCAAGTGGAACGAGACGGAGCAGCACCGGTCCATGAAGCTGGTTCTGGAACTACTGCCTTCTCTGATCAGGCGCAACCCCGACTCGGCTGTTGCTGAGGTGGTCAAGACGACCGTTCTCGACACTCTCATCTCCATCATCGGGCCGCAGTCCACCAAGCCTTTGTTGAAGTCATCACTAAAGGCCATGGACTACTTCGCTACCAAGGTCTTTACCGTCGAGGATATCGCTGCCAGCTATAGACGTACGCAGCCGTCTTGCAGTTGGGACTCTGAAATGGCGCTGTGGCAAGACTTTTTCAGCCAGATGCTCGGCTGGATGACGATGCACTACGTTTGCCCCACTGCCGGCAAGTTTATCGTGACCATCTTCCGTGCTTTGCGCCAGAGTTCTCTGAAGAACCCCCAAGCAACGGGCATCGATGGCTTCAGCGTCGTGGCTTGGCTCCGTTGGGTTCAAGCCGCCATTGACGCGACGCCCTCTCTTTTGGAGGGTGTCAAGACATACGTTTTCCTCCCCCTGTTCAAGGATGACCACAAGGATTCGGTCCAGATTCTGCAGCAGATTAACAGCTCATGGTCTGCGTCTGATTCTAGCGCCGAGTTGGACACCCTTGCTCAGCTGAACCTCGCAGTGCTGGAAGTTGGCAAGAAGGTCGGCATGGTTGAGGAGCCTGGTGAGTCGTTCGGCCCCTATATCTACACGGTTGCTTATTATCATGTCCAGGTGCCATCGTCCAAGAAGATTCCTCGTCAGTAGTGCTGGAAGAGGAGGTTCTCCAGAAAGTCCTCTCGCATCCCTCTCATGAACTGCGCTCACTCGCCCTGTCGCTCATCATTGCGTCTCCTTCCACCACCAGGCCCTACTCCCCCGTAGCTCTGCGTCTGCTGCAAGTTCACTTGCAAACGTACTTTTCAGAGTCGGACGCAAAGTTCCGCATGGAAGTTCTGAGCAAGCTGAAGGACATGTTCAAGCGGAGTCGCGGCGCCATCTTCATCCTGAAGAAGAGTCTCGATCGCGTCAAGGCCATCAAGGCGTTGCCCCCTCCTGCTGACGGGAAGCCCAAGCCCGCCCCCAAACCTGCAAAACAGGCCAACCACCGCACCAACATCCTATTCTGGCCCGAGGACAAGCTCACCGAGAGCTTGCACCAGCATGAAGAGTTCCTGGCTTGGTATCTGCGGTTCCTTCGCTCAGAGTTGATTCCTACTGCGTCCTTTCAACGGCACTTCACCTCGCTGAGGGCAGTCATCTTCATCCTCAAGCTCGAGTTTGACCAGTCCAAGACCTGGGAGACCGAGGACGACGAAAGTCTCTTCTTCAACCACTTTGATGGGAGATGGACCCGCACGCTCCTCGACCTCATCATGGACCCCTTTGACGACGTGCGTGAAGCCAGCACTTCTGTCTTGAAGAGCCTATTCTCCGACAGCCGCTTCAAGTGCCTCACCGGGACGCGAGGAGTCTCGCCAACTTTAGAGGAGTTCCTGGCCAGGGCTGGAGACATTGCCAGAAGAACGGCTCGCGCCGACCACGCTGACGGTGTAGCCCGAACCAACGAGCTCCTCTTCAGGTTCTACAGCGGCCGAGACGCCCAAATCGCCCACATCGCCAGACTGGTTGACCTCCTCGAGACCAAGCTCTCCTTCGCCGAGGGCGACCTTGGCAATGCCGTCCTCGAGGCCCCCGTCCACGGCTACTTCGCCTCCCTCCGCTACATCTGGCAAGCCGCTGTCGAAATGAAGTTCTCCGAGTCGGAAATCGCAACCATGACAGCCCTACAGACCCGCATCGTCAAGTGCTGCGGACGCATCTGGGCCGCCGTCCGAGACATCCTCTGCGACGATTCCCCTGAAGGCCACCTCCCCCAAGAGCTCGAAGACCTCGAGGGCCTCGACACGAAGGACCTTCTTAGCTACAGCTTCCGCGCAATTCACGAGTCAAGCAGCTTGATGCGCGTCATGGTCCTGCCACTCAAATCAAAGCCCCAGCCAGAGACCCTCCGCCCGTCGACCTCTCTGTTCACGACGGTCGGCTCCCTGACCTTCACCCAACTGTCCAGCCTCCGCCACCGTGGCGCCTTCAACACAGTCTCGCTCTCCTTTGCGACCTGCTGTCAACTGGTCAAGCACCTTGATGCCTCGGACGACGGATCCCAAAACCTCCTCGATGTCTGGTACGCCGGCACGAAGGAATGCATCTTTGCCCAGGCCTCTACAACTCGTCGCTCGGCAGGCATCCCCGCAATGATCACAGGCATCGTTTCGGCCAACGCAACGCAGCCCTCCTTTGACGACGTAATTTCAGAACTCGTGGCCATCGCCCAGAGGCCGGCTTTTGTGTCCGAGATAGACGACACCAAGCTCCCGCAGGTCCACGCCCTCAACTGTCTCAAGGACATGTTCAAATCCTCCTTCATCACCCAGCTCGGCAAATCCGCCCCGCACATCCCGCAGTGCCTCGAGCTCGCAGCGGGCAGTCTCAAGTCGGAAGTCTGGGCGATTCGCAACTGCGGTCTGCTCTTCCTCCGCAGTCTCCTGGACAACCTCTTCGGCACGAACGAGAGCAAGGCAACGCTGGAGGCAGGCTGGGACGGGCGTACAACGCGCCTGCAGTACCACAAGTATCCCATCCTCCCCGACGTCCTCCTCAACCTCCTCCGCTCAGGCCGCGAGGTCATGAAGCCCAGCACGAGCACCATTGCCGCCGAATCCGTCTTCCCCGCCCTAGACATCATCCGCCGCGCCGGGCCTCCCGATACCTCACGAGACGAGCTCTACGATCTCGTCACTGGCTACCTCGGCAGCCCTGTCTGGCATGTCCGTGAAATGGCAGCCCGCGCTCTTTGCTCGTTCCTCCTCCGCGATGACGACTGGGTGACCGCGGCAGAGAAGATCATCACCGACTCTGTGGCCTCCGACGTCTCGAATCGCAACAACCGCCTTCACGGCAGCCTCCTCACCCTCAAGGCCGTCTTCGAGCGCCTCTCCGATGTCTCCCCTCAAACGTTCTCCCTCGCAATCCCGCGGCTGACTTCGATCCTCCAAGACCTCGACGCAAACGCTCCTGCATGCTTCTTGTCTACGCCAGACATCCGCGCGGCTTACCTCGAGGTCCAGAACCTCATCTCCAACTTCACCCTTACGATCCCTATGACACCCGTCTCGATCCCTCAGCCGCCGCAAAGCGCCCTCCTCCGCACACAACTCGCCGTCAACGCGGTGCACACCTACCCCTCCGCCGCCTCCCTCCGCGATACCCTCTTGTCCACAAGCACGACCTCCGTCGAGGCGACAATCACTATCCTGGAAACCCTCTCCAGTGTGCGCCACCCCCGTCTCAACCCGGAGGATGCGGCATCCTACGCAGCCCTCTACACCGACCTCGCCCTCTCGACAACCCACCCCGATCTCCGCGCGGCAGCCCTCACAAACCTCGCCTCAAACATCGACGTCGTCCTGTCCGCAAACCAGTCCACCCTCCTCCCTGCCTCCTCAACCCTCGTCACACTGTGGCAGGACGCAAACACAAAGACGATAAACCCCAACCTCTCCAACGCCGTGATCCGCACCAGCGGGCCCTTGCTGGCGACCCTCCTCCTCCGCGGCGATGCCACCCCGCAATCACTCCTCGGCTGGGGTACAATGATGTCCTCCGCCGGCCACGACTCCTCCCCCTTCGACACCCGCATCGCGGCGGCCGCCTCCCTCGCCTCCTTCTTCTCCGTCGTCTCCGCCCCAGACGCAGACGCATCCCGCCTGCCCGCCCTGGTCGCCCTCTACGACGCGCTCAACGACGACGACGACGAGGTCCGCGACAAGGCGTGCCTCTCAGCAAAGCACATCCTCTCTCAGTCCCTGGCACCCCTCGACGCAGCGGACAGGCTGCTCAGCCACATGTCGGCAAATTATGCCTCCGCGCCGTCTTTCCACGCATTGGTGGGCTCCCGCATGACGGGCCAGACGACCGCCGCGTCGCAACTGACAGAGGCTCTCCGCTTCGACGACTCTCTCTTTGCAATCGAAGAGCAGAACCTCTTCGTCGACGAGGTCCGCGAGTCGCGCCGCTGGGCAGCCGTCTTCGAGACCGTCGCCGGTGGCACGGACAACAAGCAGCTGGCGCAATGGACCTCAGACGGTCTCGCTGCCCTTCTGAAGCTTGCCAGGGAGGAGCACACCGACGACGGGCCCCTGGGCTGGGCTTCTGTGCCCGACGTCTATGCCGTTTGCGCGAGAATCATCACCTGTGCGGCAGCGCTTGTCAAGACGGGTGTGCAGGTCGAGGGGTTGAGAGAGAAGTTGGTCGAGCTCAAGACCGTGGGTGAGAAGGGACGACTTCACGGTCTCCTACTAGAGATGGCTACGTTGTAGAGAAGCAGATATATACCAACAACTTGGATGTAGATTTGATGACAAAAGTTTGCTTAGACTTCGTGTACAATGTTTTCGAAATTCCAGTTAAAGGAGAGGCTTGAAAAAATGAAGGCTAAGACGCCCCGACGCCATCCCGATGCTTGTGAATATGAACAACAAAAGTCATGTATCGTCCCCCTTTTGCGTGGCATGCGGGATATCCAGTCCTCACGGCTCACGTATGTCTTGCGTCTCCTAGCTCGAGACACTCTGGGTGGTCAACTTCTCTCCCGATGTGCTCCACGCCGCCGAATCCTCCCTCTTCAGCCCACCCAGGCGGCCCATCTTGGCCACAAGCATGGTGTTCTGGCTCTGCAGGTCTCCAATCTGCCCTTTGAGCACCTCAATCTGCTTCAGCGCGAGGTCACGCTCCGTCTTGACCCGCTCGAGCTCCATGGCCATGTTGCCCTTCTCCTCCTTCTCGGCTTGCTTGCGCCTCCTCTCTTCCGCTTTGCGTTCCTCATTCTCCCGTCGCTCCTCGAGCCTCTTCAGCTCGCGGCGGTACTTTTCTTCCTGTTTGGCAACCTCCTTGTCGTGCTTCTCCCGCAACTTGGCCTGCTGGGCGGCATCGCGTTGCGTGTCTTCTGCGCGCTTACTGGACATGCGCTCCTGCATCTTGTTGATCTTCTCCTGCATCTTCTTTCGGCGTTCCTGGAGCTTCTTGAGCTCCCTGTCGTGATGCGACGTCGTCGACTTGTGCAGGGAGTTCGCACCAGAGCCGGACGAGTGTAGAGACATGGTGTCTTGGTGGGTAACGTCCGGAGGCGTAAGGGCCTCGCCCTCGTCTGTCTTCTCAACGGCCGACGCGAAACTGCGGATGGACGAGGTGTCGCTCTCGTTGGTCTCTTCGTCGCGCTCGTCTTCCTCGGCTATCGAGCCGTTGGTGCTTGGCGCCTGGAACATGCCCGGCAGACCGTTAGGGAGCCGACTTGCCACAGCAGACCCTGCCAGTCCGAAGGCCCCTGAGATAATACCATAAAGGCCGTTGCTACTTGGCGGGACAGTCTCATCCTGTGCCGACGGATCTGGTACGAGATTGGACGTGGGCTCCTTGGCGACCTCCATTGGTGATGCGACCTTTTCAGCCTCGGCTTGCTTAGCATTCTCCTTCGTCTCCTCCTGCTCCGTGTCTGACGCTGTGAAATCGTCTGCGGCCTTGGCGGTCATCCACTTGATGAACTTGCCCGCATCGCCGATGATGCCACCAGGCGTGCCGCGATCGATCAAGAACCTGGGCACGTTTCCGCCGGGGTCACTGCGAGTCACCATCAACCACTCAACCGTCGTTGTAGCTTCCTCGTCAAGGCCTTCCGCATTGTGACCGGCGTCATCTCTCGCCGGTGCACTGTCGACAGAAGTCCCGCGCTGTCGTCCGCCTTCGGGGTCAGCGGCCTTCTTGGCCGCCCGCAGAACCGCCTCTCTGCCCATGGACTCGGCGACTGCTTGCCTTTCCTTCGGACCGTCGTGGCTCAGATCGATCGATGACTTTGCGCGGGTGATTGAGGGCTTGTCGGAAGGGATCTCGCGGATGATCTCCACGGACTCGTACTGCCCTCGAATGTAGCCCGGCCGTTCGGCGCACTCGGGATGTATGCACGGCTTCGAGACAATCATGAAGGTCCTAAGCGGTCGCCTCCCGCCTTCTTGTGCAGGAGGGTTGCCGGAAAAGTCGGAAGTCAGGAGCAGAGTAACAAAGTCTCTCGGAGCGGTCGGACCCGGGAACTGCGCCGACAATTGGAAAACTGCAAGCATCATGGTCAGCAAATTTGACGGCCACCATCATTTGCGGCCCGCTCACCTTCCATCTTCCCGGCGCCCTCGACAACCTGGTGGACGACCCGTTTCTCGGCGCCGATTCCTCGGATAGCGCCGGCTCCAGGACCCGTCTGTACCTTCATTGACTCGGCAAACTCCTTTTCGAGACCCAGCTTCCACTTCTCAAAGGTGAGGCCATCATGAACACTGCGCCGCGCGAACCAACTACCCTTGCCGTCCTTGGAGGCGAGCTTATAGACGTTGATGGCGAGCGGGTTGTCTCTGGGGTTCACCTTGACCTCCTTCCACTCCTTTGCCAGGTCACGCGACAGGCTGAGAGAGGCGGCAGACTGGCGCTGCTGGGAAAGACTGCGGTTGATGTCGGCGACGGGTTGAGGCGGATCGGTGTGTGAGCGAGCGCGGCCCGTCGTGGCCTGCTTGACGGCGGCGGGGACGGGGATTGAGTCGACTATCGTTTGGGCATCAGAGAAGACGCTGGCGAGGAATTCTTTGGGGTCCTCCTCTTCGACAGAAGACCATTTTATAGGCGCGAGGCCCTTGAAGGGCTCGTGATGCGGTGCCATTTCGATTGAGGTTGGGGTGACACGTTGGAGGGAAAGTGGGAGAGGCGAATCAAACGCTGGTTGAGGTCGATGTCATAGCCCTGGTCGAGCGACCGAGCGACCGAACAGACCGGAAATTGTCTCGTAGACGGGTTTTCGGAGCAGATGGGAATGCTTCGCGGAATTGCAGATGCTGATGGGAACGCGAAGCAGGTTTGCGTCGGAGTCCGCGAGGTGCCGAGGTGTAGCCGCAAGAGGATGTGGAGTGTTCGCGGAGAAACAAGGTAGATGCTGTACGGTAGCTGCGATGCTTAATTTCTTGAATTCTGTTGATTACTGGGCAAATTGGAGATGATACGTCCAGGACCAAAGAAAGATGCAGACGGGGGGAGAGGCAAAGGTAAGCATGTGGCTTAAAAGACGAAGCGAGTACGGGAGCGAGGGAGTCGCGCGGTGCTGGTGCAGTGGCTTGGAAGATCCGTTCGGTTCCCTGCACACGACCACGACACTGACACTGCACGACGTTTTCAAGGGCCGTAAAAGGGATGATACGCAGCAAGGTGGATGGGTTGGATATTTTCGCGGGGGGCTTTGACGTCTGCAGTACCCCGAGCGGACCTAATGCTCCATGCCTGTGCTTTTCTGGGTCACGTACTTGGTAGATAGATGGGCGTTGCACCATCTGTCCTGCGGTCGATTTATCTCGATGCTGTCCGTTTCCTGGCTGTTGCAACTTTCACCCCAATCAGTGACCACGGCCGGCGAGTTGGTAGGTCCTTCCCGTTTTCCCGTCTGCCTTGCCTGCCTGCCCTACGCTCTTTCACCGATTGACTTCCCCCAGCGCTGACGTCACCCCTTGTCCCATGTTACAGCGCCGCCCAAGAGGGCATCCGAGAGGGGTGAAGAGGGGTTGCCCCTGCACCGCCCGACGTCACAATTGGTGGTCGCGGGGCCTCCCAAGAGTTCCAGCCCTCAGGGGATCGTAGAAAAATGGAGAAATGGCGCTGGATCGTCTAAAATCCCGCCCAATCCGCGTATTGCACCCGCGGACTCGGCTTCGTTAATTGGGCGCCGCCTCCAACGATGAAGTCAACTGCGGCTCACTCTCCTTCTCCTGCACCACCGTTAGGGAGGGCATCTACGTCGCCCAAGGCCTGTCATCCGACCGACTGGCCTCTCACAGCCCTGCCTTTCTGCTATCCTTGGACACCATGCGGCATGACTGCACTGGCGGAACGTGGGATGTGGCATTCCTGCTTTTGCTCTTTTGCTTTAGTTACGTCGTCGGGCCCGTCCGCTTGGGTCGGGGAGGCAATCGTTCGGGCGGATTGTCCCTGGCAAAGGCACGTGAGGTTATATTCAGCTTGAGGTTTCACCCTCTGCCCTTTTTTGATGTCACGTAGCCTGCTTCTTGGGTGATGCGGGGATCGCATCATGATGAGATAGATTGCAAAGTACCGAGTCCAAGGAGGTGACCGACATATCCGAGACAAGCTTTCTCTACTGCTAGTCTTGCCATCTACCACCCTAGCCTCCATTCGGCCTCTACGGGTGTAAGCGCGACCGCGCCAAATCGGTTCGTGCTCGTCAACTTGACGCAACGTAAGCCTCGTCTTCCCAGATGCCGTTCCAGAGAAGGCATCACGGATGAAACGGACAGACCTCCTTGGTTGAGAGAATGGTTTACCGTCGGGTGCCTCGCTCTAACAGCATGTACAGAAATTAAAACGTGTATTTGTATATGTAGCAACGAACGACTGTCCAACAGACACCGAAACAAGAGACTGTGTGTACTTCGAGGTATCAACCCACTTCAACCATGACCGCAATGCATCTACAGACCTGCCAAAGAATTTCTCTCGCTCATCAATGCCGCGTGATCTAACTTGCAGCTGCCACAATATGTATCGTACCACTCCCGCAACGTCTCCCTCTTGCCCTCGTCGATCTTCGGCGCCATGACCTTCTGGTCGCCGCTCCGTTTGGTCTTGGTCGACTTGTCTGCTTCGAGCACCGTCTTGAGCTTATCGCAACGAACGTTTTCATCAGCTAGCCAGTTCTCCCACTCCGACTGCACCATCTCCCGCTCGATGCTGTTGACGATGCGCATCGCAACCAGGAGGTCGTGTCTGTAAGAGCCGAGACGTTGGCGTGTCCGACGCAGCCGGCGCGCCGTCGCTCGGCTCGTTGCCGTCGAGAGAGTTGACCCGGCGTCTTCGAACGGAGCGTCCAAATCGGTGGAGTTTGCAACTAATTGGAATGTGGTGAAGCTGTGACTAGTTAGCAATTGTAATCGATTTCAGAGGCCCAAAGCTTACCATGCACTATCAGCGGGCCAGGAACTGTTGTGGCCTACTGCGCCCGTTGCCTCGCCCAAATCCGCCATGTAGATGGCCTTGCTCATCATCACATTTGGCCCAACACCGACGCGGTTCATAAACTTGGCTGCCCGCCTCTCCATCCACCAGTTTGAACTGTCCTTTGACGTCAGGAAGACGTTCGTAAACGTACTTCCTGCCAGTAGAAGAAGGATGAGTCGGTGTGCCGTCACTACGCTGAAGAACTTTTGCACTCCAGCAATCGCCCACATGATGAGCGACGTGACCGCGCTCTCTCCAAAGGAGCGGAGCGTCTCTAGAAGCATGGCCGTCAGGGTGCGCGGCTTGATAAGCTGCTTCTTCGCTGCGTCAGCATCAGCTGGCGAGAACAGCACGACCTGAGTCTGCTGCCCAATGTTTCCGTAAACTTGGATTGCTCTCTTGGTGCGACTGTGAGGGCCCAGTTTGCGGACCTGGTCCGTTGCTACGTCCGCCAGCTCTTCGGCGTCGCCCTCGGCATCATTCAGCGCTTGCCGTTCGACCAGATTCTTCGAAAATGCCGGCATCTTAGACCAGTCCACCTTTGTGTAGATCGCGAGCTTGCACTTGGATTTGGCCACATGCGTAATTACCACCTTCGTCACCAACTTGAAGTACTGCGAATGGGGCAGATGCCATGCTGTCTTGACGTGGGTGACAACGTACGTAACGTGGTCTTGAAACACGTCCATCGTCTGATGGTCGACGACGTTGACAGTCTTTGGCCGACCAAGCATGTCTTTGTAGTCGAATTTGAACTGGAACTCTCGTCTCATTCGACCGTGGTCTGCGAGAGTCCAAGGACCCTGAGCAATCTGCTGCGCTCTACGCTCAAAATAGAGCTTCGGGAACACAAAGCTCTTGTCTCCAAACAGCACATGGAAGCATGCCTTGGCGCTGATCTCGAAATGACGCTCAGCGACCTTTCTCTGCATGTCCTCGGGCTCGAAGACGACAGGATGTGCGGGCAACTGAAGCTTTGGCGTCTGCTTGCTTTGGCCTGATATACGAAGCTTGGGGCCGAATTGACTCTGGCGTCGTGGAGGACGGCCAGAGTGGGTGCCATCGTCAAACGGGGTGTTAGACGAGATTTCTTCCCAGCTCTCAACGCTTGGGCTTCGCTTGCTATAGTCCTCAAACTCAAGGTTGATGAGAGCAGTTATAAGTTCTGACAGCTCCATGGGTTCCTCTGACTGAAGATCATCGATGAGGAGGTTCAGTCTAGCATGCAGAAGCTGAAGGTTGTCGAGGAAAACCTTGATTGTGACTCTGGTGTAACCAGTCTCGTTACCATCTTCTCCCAGGTGGAGGAAGATGAAATCGCACTCCTTTCCGGGCGCCGCTGTAACTTCAGCAATGATGTCGAGACTGACGGCGTATGCCACAACAAGACCCATCTGCTGGCCGTAGAAGTACATGTTGTCAGGCGTGATGTAGATGCGGCCGTTGCCTGCGAGTCCGTGTCCGTTTGATGGCGAGTCTTTGCCAGAGGAGCTCGACCACGCGGCTCGGAACACGAGGACCAACTTCTCGTCGAGAGGCACGGTTGGGAACAGGATTCGGAACTGGTGGTGTTGGATTCTCAGCTCGGGAGGATAGCCAGGGGGGAACGTCTCGACAGGTTGTTTGATCTGAGGATGGGGCTGATTGAACTTGGCGTCGACGCTGACCGTCTTCCTGTGTCCGGTTGTAGGCGTCGAAGGCTTTTCTTCGCCGGGTTTCCCAACTTCCCGAACAATGATTCCAAACGGATTTTCCTCCATCTGCCCAGGCGTCCGGGGACGCCCAGGTCCCGAGCCGTAGACGGTGCTCCATTGACTGCTTCCCCAGTAGTTTGCGAGGACCGCAGTGGGCATATGGCTTGTGTTGTCGCCACCCATGCTCCTGTCGACAGAGAACATGACTGCGGTCCGACTGAGGTTGGTCGCAGCTGGTGGCCTCGCCAGCGTGAGTGGAGCCAGAGTACCCTGGGCAGGATCGAAAGAAGCCAGTCTTTGAATAGGTGGTTTCTTGGGCGTGCTCTGAGGAGGCGAGGGGTATCCGGGCAAATGACCGTGGCTGGCGATCATGCCTGCAATGCCACCAGTGCTTGGGGATGCAGCAGCGGCAACAGCAGCTTCGGCGCCAGCCCCAAAGGTCGCCTTGCGGTGAAGATCTAGCTTCTGGATGATCCTCGCGGCATGTTCGCGATTGCTCTCGCCATCCTCCCGGACCATTTCCCGCCCAAGGTCCCGACCGAGGGCAGTGATGGAACGACGCGGTGCGCCTCCTACATCGAAGCTGGCACGGCCCGCCATATTGTTGTCGGACCCAGGGACCGGTAGAGTGCCAGCTCTGTCGAAACTGGCTGATGGTTCTTCGCCAGCAACCAACGCATCAAGAGACCTCGCAGAGAACTCGGGCAATGGGGGTGGAGTGATGGAAAATGCTGGATCAGATCCCGCAGGAGAGAGGTTGCTGTCTCTATCCATGCTGGCCTCGAAGGCTCGCTTCTTGGCTACCTCGAAGACTTCGAGCCACTCGGTCAGCTGGTTCTGAGTCTCGGCCTGGAGAACCAGTGTCTGACTCTTGGTCTTGACTTCGAAGCAGAAACGGCGATCTTCTGCCACTGCCGGCTTTGCGTTGCACAGCAGGACACCAATTTCGTCGCCTTGCAAAACGCCTTGAGAGCCATTGATCAGCCAGCCAAAGATGCCATCCCGGCAGTAATACCAGCGGCGGACCCAATTGGACCGAGCGGGCTTGCCGTATAGAGTCTTCAAGAAAAGCCAGCCCTGCTTTTCCGAGATAACGGCAGAGTTCTCCTGGGGCTGAACGTTAACCGGGCCCCTGGATCCAAGGAACGGCACAGTGGATGCGCTATAATCCTCCAGCTCGCGGGATGGCTTGAAAGCCTGCAGAGTGCTCTCCCCGATATCTCGCCTAGCAATCTGAAGCTCGCGTTTGAAGACGAACTCGGACGTCTCCATCTCCCTAGACCAGCCGCGGATGCGTTCCATTTCGGAACCCCATTTTGTCGACACAGAGGCAGCGTCCCGTGACCGTTTCATCTCCTTCCAAAAATCGGCACTTACCCGGACGAGCAACTTGTCGAGGCTGAAGCGTACTTGGGGCGCAAGCTGGCAGAAGTCCATCGAGACCTTGAGATACGCTTTGCGGGTTTCGTACACGGCGAAGGCTTCCTCCCGAATGGCAGACGGTTCCTTCGTTTTGGACTGACTCATATAGCGAGCCATGGCCTGGTCGAAATTCCTTTGCGTGTGTTCCAGCACCCTCCGCACCTCCTTGAAGGACCGCAGGTCAGCGGCCACGAACGAGCGGATGGGGTCGACCGAGATGGTGTCAATCTTCCGCACGGTCGACATGATCTGTGTCCACCATTCCTTTGATCCATCGCTAATCCTGCGCAATGCAAGAAGTGTATAATCGTGGTCGATGATGGCGTCGGCGGTCGCAGCGGGCGGGAAGATTTTGGAGAGGTAGGTGTTGACCCCTTCTTCGAGGGCCAGGAGGTCGCGTGTCACTTTCGAGGTGGCCTTGACGTAGTCGTCGAGCCATCTTTCCACATTATCAATGTGCTCCCCAAAGTGCTGAGAGGTCGACCGGAAGGTTGGAGAGTCGAGGGAGGCTTCGTTCAGACCGACGGGGATGGCAGGGCTCGATTGCTTCTTGGCCACCGGGGCGGCCGGGGCGGCGGGATCCGCCATCGTCAAGCGGTGGTTACGACGTGCGTTTCGTCGCCTGTAACAATATTATCGGTTTCTATGCTGTAGAAAAGGCATGCTCGGTATATCGAAATCGTGGAAAATGCTGCGCGGAAGGGCAAAGGTGCTTGCGAAGTTGTAATGACGTCGGCTGAAGCCGCATGCACTCTGGAGGTGTGCTGTCAACGTCAAGCCTCATCTGAGGTCTCAGGACGGGGACGAGCCAATGAAACCGCGTATTCATCGTATCCGGGGGACAACTGGGGGCTAATCTGCCCAGCCTTGCCGCTGTGATTTACTGGCCGGTCCACTGTAATCTCGGCCGAGTTGCCCCGCGACACGCTGAAGCCACAGCTCATTTGGCGCTCGACTTTAGCTCAGGCCCGGTGAAGACAAATGGCCCAAGCTCCTCGTTAGTGCCATTGCCGTTGACAGCAACGCCGGCTGTCTCCTGCCCCAGATCTTCAACTCACACCATCCCCGTCGTCCTCCAAGTGTCATCGACATGGAACCTCTCAACAGCTCACCATCCATCCCACCGTGCTGTTTTGCTCGTCTGTCTTGTCCCAGAATAACAAACTTCCAACATACTTTCGAACTCCCCAAAGTCTCAATGCGCTGCTCTTCCCGTTGACCGAAGCCTTACGGAGTTCGGCAAATGCACAGATGAGCCTGGCTTTTTGGCTTGTTCGGATTTTTCCATTGGGCTACCACAGCTTGGAGGACCTTATTTGGATTACACCTCGATCTTGAAGCCGGTGCCAGCTGACTGCAGACTTGGCTCGAATTACGCCTCGAGGAGAAAAAATTTACTCGGTCTCGACTGCAACCGCCTTCTCCAACGATCGCGATCGCTTTGCTCGTCGACAGGCTCTGCTTGTCCTGCTCTCAACTGAGCATCCCGCTTGGAGTCTGCCATGCATGTATCCACTGGTTGGCCAGCGCGAGATGCAAACGGACGCAAATGTAGACACGCGGACAGAAACGAAGACAAACTCATTTGCGGAGACGGAGACAAAGCTGTGGCAGCATTGAGTCATTGATGCAGCTTCGCGCTCTATAAGTGATGTCGCATATTGAAGCTCAACAACGACTCGAGCTCCTCAACCATCAGTTCGAAACACGGGGCTATCTTGACTGGCTGGGACGTCGTTACCACGACACACGCACACGCAAGAACACACAATCGCAATACGCATCCTAACCCAGACGCCAGGCTTGTTTCTGCACCAAGCTTGGTCTGGGGGGCATCTCTGGTGAAACAAATGCCATCATCGACGTTGGGAAACACAACCATGGTGATGGCATCATGCTGGCCACAACTGGTATCGATTGTCGCCAAAAGTGCTTCTGGATCCCTTCGAAGCCGCGTGGCTGTCGCCAACGGCCCGTATGGTGTCCTGTGCCAACGAGGAGGGTCGAATCAATGCCAAAATGCCGACCATCAACGAGTCAACGGCGTTTGTTTTGCGGGCAGCACAGCCCCTCAGCCCCTCCCGTGTGTGGCCTCCCTTATGCAGAATCAAGACCCGGGAGGTCCTTGTGCTCAACCACTGACAAGCAATCGGTTCGAAGCGATCAGCGGGCCCTATGCATCGGTAGCAGCACATTTCAGCTGCTCAAGGGCCGAAAACCACCCAACCACGGGCCTCCCGTATTCGGCCCATGTCCCCTGACTTGTGCATCTGCTAGCACGACGGTTGTTCTCGGGAGACATTCGATACACTCGCACTTTGCGAATCGTCTTCTCGGGCTGCCCCCCATCACCAGCCTCCCGGCTCTGCGCCACACGGGGATCTTCGCTGGTGGGGTTTTCGCCGCACCGTTTCTCCCCCAGACCGGCAGTCCCTGTTCTTTTTTTGGATACTCTTCGGAGCTGCGAGATCTGGGGAAACCCTACGAACATCGGTTTTCGGTGTCACCATTCTCGCCGGAGGAGCAGACACGCAATCGCCTTCGACTCGGAGAAAGGACCGCCCTGCTTGTCTACATGCTTGTTCCTCCGGGAGCTGTCACTACATCCAGTCCGTGCCATGGCATCTGTGAAAGGCGTTGCAATCTGGCTCAGACGTAGCAGGAGCTTAGTTGGTGGCGAGTATCGATACAAGATGCTATCGAGACAAGGAATGCCTTTCTTTCGAATACCCGTCCAAAACGAACCGTCCCGCTCGCATGCTTGGCTCAAGCCCGCCATGCTATTTTGAACACCAGCATGAATCGGCTAGGCACGCGCTCTCGAATCGTCGAGTCGTCGCCGTCGCTCTCGCTTACGATGGCAATGCTCTGGCCTCGACCTGCATGCGACGCATAGAAAGCAGTCCTGGACGGGGCTCGCTGCGAGACGGAGACGAATGAAGCGATGAAGATGCCGTCCTGCAGGAGGTAGTTTCGAATGAGAAGAATTCCTATGGACGCCTTTCAAATCGGCGCCCGCTGCCAAAAACCAAGGGATCTGCTCCCGCACAACCGTGCGGCCAGTCAAGGTTTGCGGGTCGCGCACCCAGCCACTAGGGCAAGGATCTGCCTTGATATGCGGCGACACCGGAAACGACACTGTCTGTGAAGCTTGGCGTGGTGCAATCCGAACTGATGCCGTTGGCCTTCCTATTTCTTCACCGGCTTGATGCCAGGGGGCGGGACACTCTGAGCGGTGACAGAATGGACGCAGGCCGGCGGCTGTCCTCATGTGACCCGACTGTACCAGAGTCAAGTGACAGCACCTGTGGTCACGAGCCTCGGGAGGCTGGAGGACAGTGGCTGTTGTCAATTGCGGATGCGGCAAACGGCGGTCTTGCTCAGGCGACAGGCGATGCCGCGGGGGCCAAAAATAGGGCAGACAGTCAGCAGACCTGCCGCCACGGCGCAAGACCGGCACTGAAAGCGAGACTCCACTGCACTGGCTTGTCCGACTCCACGACGTTCCGTTTGTCGCCCTCCCGCGTCTAAGGCCGAACAACCGCCGCTCGCCCAGGGGAGCACTCACCTCCGTCCAAGGTGATATCGAAAGTCCACCCTCCCACCGCAATGCCGACACCGGTACCAGAAGCGCCAGCTACCGGTTTGATGGTATCCTGGATGCGCAAGGGTTTGGATTGTTCAACCCACTCACGGAAAAGAGTCGTCGTTCGCCACCGCAGGACGGAGCAATATGTCGGGATGTAATTACCACCTCGACAGCGACGATGTGGTCCCTGCTTGCTTTCCGGATCTGTTTCTGAGCCGTGTCCCCTTGTTTAGTCAACCGGAACTGGGCCAGCAACTCAATGACTCGATTGGACCGCGGATTAATTGGTGAAAGGTCTCAATCCGCTTCTGAAGAGGTTCGAGAACGGTTGTTTCTGCAGCCGGACCCGCGAACGGGACAGGCCCGTCCCCAATGTGGCAATCTGGGTATGTAACCATGTCGAGATGCCCTTGACCATGCTGCGTTTCTGACCCCTTATCCCGGGGCAATGTTGCTCCTCTTTGCGCCATTAACGCGGTTGCTATTGCTCAACGGTCATTCCTCATAGGGATCCCTTGGGTCTTTGGACTCTACTTGTCTTTGCTCATCGTGGGCTCTCGCGGACTCTGAGCCATGATTGGTCAAATATCAATGAGGAATTTCAGCATTTCTTGCCAATCATCATCAGGCGCTCGGCCGTTTTCCGCCCAGACCCACGTAGCCCGAATCTGGCCCTCAGCTCAGCAACCAATGAGACTCCAAGGACCAGGTTTTTCGCAGACACACCTCAGCTCACCTTCCGCCGCTAGCAAGGGCCTCGATCTTGTCACAAGCCGTCTACAGGCTGTCGTTGCTCGACGCCTTCACCCTCAACCGACCACCCTCACTCCACAGTGCCTTTGCAGCCCGTTCCATTTTGACGGGCCAACCCCCTTTGGCTCAGCGTCCATGCGAAGTTTGAAGGAATAAGGGGAGTCCACGCTTTCGGAAACGCTCTCGACGCCAGTTCTCAGATGGAATGCCAATGCTGCCGCTGCCGTACGCCGCGCCATCTGGTCTGATGTTCTATCCCAGGCGGAGTCCCGGCCGGGACTTCAGCAAAGGAAGTTTAGTGTTGGTTCTTCTGGCGGTTATCTCTACGGGCTCGTGGCCCGCTCCAATCACCATGTTGCCCTGAGTCTCGAGAAACTCGAGCCGGTCCATGGACTACGACTCTACGCTCCAAAAGAGTCCAAGCTGCAGATGGGCATGCCATTCAAGTACAGATATGGGCAGTGTAGATTACTGGGGCTACCCGCCGTCACGGCCGCGCCTGCGTCGTTTCAAGACGATCTCCTGTTGGAACCGACATGATGCAGGGAGACGAGCAGAAGTGTCCTGTACGCACATGCAAGTCATACGGCTCTAACGTGCCAGAGACTCTTGACTTCAACTACATGACTGGATAGGAAGACGAGTCGGCGAGATGAAGATGGCCGAATTCCAAGTCCCTCATCTCCGGGACAGTCACAGCTACGCCAAAGACTCAGCCGTTAGTCGACTAACGCAACACGATGACGGATCGCAACGACGGCCTACAGGACAGGTTGATGGTGGCAAAAGTTTCACTGGCAGAAGACAAGCCGTCAGACCAGATCATCAAGGCTGGACGGATATGGCCAGCTGCATAAGCGCAACTATCTTGCGGTACTCTTGGATGGTTTCCTAGCGGCGGACAAGTCTAGAGGCTTTTGGTCTCTTATGCACACCCGCCTGCATGCGACGGCACAACATGCGGAGCCATTTTGGGTCGCAGCGAGCCAAGCAGGACCTGCGTGAGACTGTGTGATGGATCACGATTTGACGGGGCGAGCCAATCATGGTCGTCTTTTTGCGAAAAATCTACGAAGAAGGCCATGCACGTTGACCAGATCTGATGCTGGGCGACAGGACTGTGGCGCACTCCCAAGGAACAAGCGAGTAAATGATCACGACGCTGTGTAATATTTGGGATATGATATATCGCAAAAGACGTTGGAAAGTACTCTTGGCCGGAACAATTTGCAATCCCGCGGAAGGC